GTGAATGCTCTAATGACAACAGTTATCATCCGATCTGTTTGAAATTGATATGCATGATTTAAATTAGTGAAACGAAGAATCCTATTGAAGTTCAGCAATTTCCTTTAATTACGCCATGAGTTATGGCCCTTGTTTCACTTTGTTGTACCTTGTGGTTGCTTTAACGACAAAAGTTATTATACGATCTGTATGAAATTTAAAGGTATCGTTTAAATTAGTAAAACGAACAAGCCTATTGAGTTTCAGCAAATTTCCGTTAATTACATCTAGAGTTATGGCCCTTGTTTCACATTGTTGAATCTTGTGAACGCTTGAACGACAAAAGTTATCACCCAATCTGTATGAAATTCATATGCATCATTTAAATTAGTGAAATGAAGAAGCCTATTGAATGTCAGCAATTTCTGTCAATTACTTCTAGAGTTATGGCCCTTGTTCTACTTTGTTGAATCTTGTGAACGTTCGAACGACAAAAGTTATCATCCGATCTGTATGAAATTGATATGTATTATTTGAATTAGTAAAACGAAAAAGTCTGTCGAATTTCAATAATTTCTGTAGATTACTTCCTGAGTTACAGCCCTTATTTTAGTTTTTAGAACCTTGTGAACCCTCAAACGACGAAAATTATAATGTCATCTGTATGAAGTTGTCTATTAAATGCCCCCTAATTACCTACAAAAGAACAAATATACGACAACTCTTGTCGACCGCTCGGACGATTTAGCTGCTGTGGGCGTATGTTTAGTTGCCTGGCAACCTATCTTTATATAATGTAGGCCCTATTTAGCTCAGGAATCCATAGCCCTAAAGCTAATTCAAGTATTCAATAGAATAACTTACCTCTATGACTGGTTGTGTTTCGTAGAGCTTAAACAAGATATCAGCTGCTGCAAAATTTCTAGAGCCTATCTTACTAAGAGACACTGCAGGTTCGGTTCCAACATCTTCCTTCTGTATCTTCATCTGACATCTTAAAGTAAAAAAAGAGAGAAATGGGGATTAACACTCACACAAAACAAACCAACATTTTCGAATTCCAACATTTGAAGATAGCTAATGCATGGAGGCAATAGGAAAACAAGGGAGGTAATTGTGTTATTATTTCCTGTGTCAATGATTTTTAAGGGTGGGAAATAATGCCCATAGTCGTATAATAGTGAGTTGATAACCTATTGAGCAAAAGACATAGAAATAATTATGTTTTGACTTTCATAGAAAATATGAAATTCTGGCTTGAAGGCTAAGGCCAGGAAACACAGCCTAAGTCTTACAGTTAAGGCCGGAAGACGCAAGACTACAGTAGGTCTTAAGAGATTCAAGACTAGGTCTTAAGAGACACAAGACTAGGCCTTACAGTTGAGGCCAGAAGATACAAGACTAAGCCTTACAGTTGAGACCGGAAGACACAAGACTAGGCCTTAAGATTATGGCCGGGAGACCAGACTAGGCCTTAAGGCAACTTACCTGAATACACGATCATCATTGTCAAAAAACTCCCATTCCAACAACATATTGTTGACAAAACATGAATGTTGTAAAATATAGAAACCTTGAACTTTACGATCTACTATCCAACTGACGTCCTCAAAGACAACGATATCCTTGGCTGGTAGTGTTGATATAGGTTTTCGGGTCCATTGTAAGCGATGAAGATTCGAACAGTTATCTTCCAAAATGCAGTTGCCCTTGACACGAAAGTCGATAACATCTGTTGCTGCTTGGTCGTGTGGTTGAAGTTTACTGTGTTGGGGGAGGATGAACTCGGGGTCACAGTTCGTGAAACCTATCGGGCTTTAGAGTAAGCGTCTGCTTGGGCATCTGTTCGGTTCTCTGCTTCACCAATCATGATGAGATGACCAGCTAGATAGAGGTTACAGAAAATTTTCTCCTTTTCTATTTCTGTGTTCATGCTACGACGGTATAGACAAATGGGCGTCAATTTTACATCGTTGAAAATTCCATCCAAGACAGTAATGATGGATGCAGGATGCGTGGCACTGCTAAGTTCGTTCATTTTGACAAACTGTTCACGGAGATCAAATGCCCTAGGATTTGGTGCTGCCTTTACCAAAGTGCTCTGAACCTGTGCTTCTGCTTCTGTTATGACAGACTGTTCGACACCATCTAAGATGTTGCCATGTTCAACATTCATGGTGGTCAGTCGTTCAACCACCATATTATAACACAATGACTTAGCAGTTTTTTTGGAAACTGAAACACCTGCACCTTGTAGTATGTTGTCAATAAAGTACATTCCCTTATGATAAACTTTCCCTGATTCAGCTTTACAACTCTCTACATCATATCGACAACGGACTCGACATTTAGCCACAGAGGCCGCCAACTCCATTTTGCTGACTGAATTGGTTGAAGCATATTTAGGATTGGTTAGAATATCTTGGATCTGTTTCAAAATAGATGGTGGGGGTAACTCTGCAATTGTTTCTTTCTCCATCTTAGCAATGGTCGAGTTAAAATTCTCCAGTTTCTCCTTGATAACTTTTGGGGTCATATCATCCTGGTTCAAAATTTCAGTGACAGGAAGGGTACGATAAAGTTCCACCGCCTTCTTGAAACATGACAGTTTGATTTCTTTCTTGTTGATGCCGATAGCTCTGGCTAGGAACACACCACCCAGATTAAGTCGGCCAGTGAAAAAGGATCCGTTCTTTCCTTGTACCATGCCATCGATCAAAAAATCTGGTCAAATTCCAACTTTACAACTCATCAGAGAATTCTCAAACAACTAAAATGAAATAAAATAGGATTTAATGGGAAAGAGAGGAAAATGGGCTTTATTGTTCACTCGACACTAGGTCATTTCGGGACTAACATATAGTTCATTTTATTTCATTAGGGGTCTTTAGCAGTGGAAGGAAACCCTGAGGACATGGAGAAAACGCACGAGGTTGAACAGACGACCCTACTCCTTGTCACGTACAAGCGGGTAATGACGCATTAACGCTTCGACCACCCAAACTCGCCCAACTGGTCTTATGTAGATGGGCAAATAAAAGAATTTTATACGTAATACATGCTTGAATAAAAATAAAAATAAAAATAAAGCAGAATCTGTGTTTTTAATGAGATTATTGTGAAAAATATTAAACATGCATTATGCAAGAGCTAAACCTGTCAATTTCAGGTCTTTCTTTAGGCCTGAAATCTTATCTAAATTATTAATTAGACATTAATTAACTTATCCAGACCATAATAAACTCCCGATGTCAAGGCTAGCCTTCGATGTCGACTGGATTACAATTCTATATGCTGCTATCGCTCATTGATAATTAAATCACAACAATAGACAATCGAGACTATTAGTTTCGAGGCTAGGCGAAACTTTCATCCGCTTAGTTTTCGGTTCATAGTGGACCAATTTGACTGACATTTTCAGCAAATTCCCTTTACATTATGTAGTTTTTAACTATTATAGTGAGAACTGCTAACTCGTTATCTTATCTCCATCTCCCATAATGTATCTTTAATAAATAAAACCTCACCATAATTTCATTGATTACTTTTTTTTCACTTCGTAAAAACATTGAAAGTCGTCGAATTTTTTCTGCTAGCGGCAATTTTGTGGCATCGATTGGTTCTGGGTTGGGTGTTTTGTGTACAGCGGCAGCAGGCAGACCTTTGTTATCAATGGGGCGTGTCTGGCAGCCTGGTAATGTTTCCCATTTCTTCTCTGTAAATAAACCATTAAAAAATGTAGTTTGTTAAAGCTGCATTTAGTAACTGTATTGAATAAACCATGACTAATATACCGGTGTATTAAATACAAGTTTTTTCACAGTTCATTTCTGACGACGTCTTGAAAAGTGTTCTCTTGTATTTATCAAGCCACAAACAAAATAAACTTCTAAATAACTTGTATTCTGAATATTGTTTAGTGCCCAGGTTCACTTTGCTCATTTCTGTTGATCAGCGGCTGGGGAGGGGGGGGGGGGGGAATAGGTTTTACATTTAGATTCAGAACGAACATGATTCTTCTACAGCCATCCTTTTTACAGTGGTTACAACTTAAACATACAGGTTTCAAGTTTAACTGACTACCATGACTAGAGAATAGAATTAAAAGCTTTTGAGCAGTAGTACAGGTAAAAATTATGTGTGTCAAAAAGATAAGCACCACCGTTTAAAATGAGGTCTGTTTGATATTTAACCATCAACAATAAATTCAGATGGTTTTTATTTGGAACCATGTAATATCCATCACAAAATACTTCCAGCATAAGTCTTGCCACTCCAAGAAGAATAGTATCAGGTTCCTTTGGTACCATGGTACTAATCAAACAAGAGGTGTTGAGGACGTGATCCAAGTGAGAGAGGGGGGGGGGGGTGGATGGCTGAATGGTTAGCTGTATCATAAAGTCTGTCATTGAGTCAACTGGCGTGGTTTCGAATCCCCGGTTGTACGTGACAAGGAGTAGGGTCGCCTGTCCAACCTCGTGGGTTTCCTCCGGGTCCTCCGGTTTCCTCCCACAGCTAAAGATCCCTACGCGCAAGCGAATTATGGAAATAAAATTGAACCATATGTTAGTCGAGTGGACGTTAAACCCCATTTCTCTCTCTCTCTCCAAGTGAGAGAGGGATACACATGACGATGGTTATCACTACTCTTGTCTGTAATCCTCATCCTTTTCCTGACCAGATCATCTAATGGACTCCTATATTTTTCGAAATCCTCAATTAAAAAATATCTATTACTTAAATGACCAAATATTCCTGTCTTGTTTTACTTTAAGGTGGTCCTTAACCTTTTGTCAGTTGTATTTATTTTTATAACTTACTTGCACCACCGGCACTGTTTGCGGGAGTTCCAACACCTCCTATAGAATTCAACTCATTGTTAAAAATATAATTTGCGGGTCACGGAAAGATAACTCTGTTTGGAAACATGGTTTGGTGTAGAGGAGTAACCGAAGTTGGCCGAGTGAAATCTGCAGCCGGTTGCCGAGTGAAAAATAGAAAGTAACTCATTGAAGATCCAGTATTGTGCATAAACAACCTCAAACTTAGTGAAAGGGTAGAACTTCCACTAAATTCAGGAGATTTACGTCAAAATGGCATCTCAACATAAAATTCAGGCTTATATGGATAAACACAGACTAGAGGCATTGTTTGAGGTAAAATATTCAGCTATTTAGAGATATTTTGTCGAGTTTTATTCATTCATTCAGACTAAAAATTCTCGACGGTGACGAGTTGCAACAAGTCGGCGCTATTGCACTTTCGTACCTCTACCAGTTCCCGTGGTCGTAGGAACTTGAAATTTTCAGAGGATGTTCAGGGGGACTAGCAATGACCACACACCAAATTTCAGCCGAATTGATCAATAACTTTTTATTTTACCGACCTTTTAATTTCTAACGAGAGAGAGCTTCATCCGTTTGACGCCATTTGCTTTGTTTACTATTTAGACTCGAATAACAAGACACTAAGACGGAAACAGACTCGAATAACAAGACACTTAGACGGAAACCGACACACTGCACCAGCTGCCTAACACTGCAGTTCATAAAAATTAATATAATTTTCGTATACTTTAATTTTTGCGCGAAGCCACCATTTTCTATAAAATACTATTTGGTGTTGATCAGTGGATTGGCCTTTAGGTGTGAATATTGCCGTGACCTTGATTTTGACCTTGAGTCCAAACTTCCCATCCATATCGGGGCCTTTGCGTTTAAGCTTGCCGTGGCCTTATTTCTTTCTGTATTGTATAAGTTAATGTTCGAGGTGAAAGCAGAGACGACGTCCTTCAGAAAAGATAATTGGGTCAAAGTCGTAGGTCAAGGTCACCTTACAGAAAACTAAACTCAAACTTTTCAATGTCGTTTTAGGGACATTTGACCTTGACTTACGACCTTGACCCCGTAACCATTTTTGAAGGCTATCACCTTGGCTTGAATCATGGACGTTTACCTTGGTCCTGTCGCACACTGCTCGGTCAGAAAAAGGTCAAACGCAGAGGGGCCCGTGTCCGAAAGGAAGTCAATGGGCGTGGTCAATGTGAACGGTCGTGGTGACCTCCACTAGTCACCTGTAACCATCCGTGACCTTGACTTCGACCTTGAGTCCAAACTTCCCATCTATCTCGGGCCCTTTTCGTTTATGCTTACCGTGGCCTTATTTCTAACTGTATTATCAAAGTTAATGTTCGAGGTGAAAGCAGAGACGACGTCCCCCAGAAAAGATAATTGGGTCAAAGTCGTAGGTAAAGGTCATTTTACAGAAAATTAAACTCAAACTTTTCAAAGTCAGTTTTGGGACATTTGACCTTGACTTACGACCTTGACCCCGTAACCATTTTCGAAGGCTATCACCTTGCCTTGAACCATCGACGTTTACTTTGTTCCTGTCGCACACTGTTCGGTCAGAAAAGGGTCAAACGCAAAGGGCCCGTGTCCGAAAGGAAGTCAATGGGCGTGGTCAATGTGAAAGGTCGTGGTGACCTCCACTAGTCACCTGTAACCATCCGTGACCTTGACTTCGACCTTGAGTCCAAACTTCCCATCTATCTCGGGCCCTTTTCGTTTATGCTTGCCGTGGCCTTATTTCTAACTGTATTATCAAAGTTAATGTTCGAGGTTAAAGCAGAGACGACGTCCCCCAGAAAAGAGAATTGGGTCAAAGTCGTAGGTCAAGGTCATCTTACAGAAAACTAAACTCAAACTTTTCAAAGTCAGTTTTGGGACATTTGACCTTGACTTACGACCTTGACCCCGTAACCATTTTCGAAGGCTATCGCATTGGCTTGAAACATGAACGTTTACCTTGGTCCTGTCGCACACTGCTCGGTCAGAAAACGGTCAAACGCAGAGGGTCCGTGTCCGAAAGGAAGTCAATGGGCGTGGTCAATGTGAAAGGTCGTGGTGACCTCCACTAGTCACCGTTAACCATCCGTAACCATGACTCTGACCTTGAGTCCAAACGTCCCATCCATATCGGGGCCTTTGCGTTTATGCTTGCCGTGGCCTTATTTCTAACTGTATTATCAAAATTAATGTTTGAGGTTAAAGCAGAGACGACGTCCTCCAGAAAAGATAATTGGGTCAAAGTCGTAGGTCAAGGTCATCTTACAGAAAACTAAACTCAAACTTTTCAAAGTCAGTTTTGGGACATTTGACCTTGACTTACGACCTTGACCCCGTAACCATTTTCGAAGGCTATCAACTTGGCTTGAACCATCGACGTTTACTTTGGTCCTGTCGCACACTGTTCGGTCAGAAAAGGGTCAAACGCAAAGGGCCCGTGTCCGAAAGGAAGTCAATGGGCGTGGTCAATGTGAAAGGTCGTGGTGACCTCCATTAGTCACCGTTAACCATCCGTGACCTTGATTTTGACCTTGAGTCCAAACTTCCCATCCATCTCGGGCCCTTTGCGTTTATGCTTGCCGTGACCTTATTTCTTACTGTATTATCAAAATTAATGTTCGAGGTGAAAGCAGAGACGACGTCCTTCAGAAAATATACTTGGGTCAAAGTCGTAGGTCAAGGTCATGTTACAGAAAAATAAACTCAAACTTTTCAAAGTCATTTTTGGGACATTTGACCTTGACTTACGACCTTGACCCCCTAACTATTTTAAACAGCCATCATCTGGGCTTCAGCCATCGACGTTTACCTTGGTCCTGTCGCACACTGCTCGGTCAGAAAACGATCAAACGAAGAGGGTCTGTGTTCGAAAGGAAGTCAATAGGCGCGGTCAATGTAATTGATTCATCTGACCTCATGATACGATTGTAGTGAACCTATCTGACCGAACAGTGTGCGACAGGATCAAAGTAAACGTCGATGGTTCAAGCCAAGTTGATAGCCTTCGAAAATGGTTACGGGGTCAAGGTCGTAAGTCAAGGTCAAATGTCCCAAAACTGACTTTGAAAAGTTTGAGTTTAGTTTTCTGTAAGATGACCTTGACCTACGACTTTGACCCAATTATCTTTTCTGGAGGACGTCGTCTCTGCTTTAACCTCGAACATTAACTTTGATAATACAGTTAGAAATAAGGCCACGGCAAGCATAAACGCAAAGGCCCCGATATGGGTGGAAAGTTTGGCCTCAAGGTCAAAATCAAGGTCACGGCAATATTTACACCTAACGGCCAATCCACTGATCAACACCAAATAGTATTTTATTGAAAATGGTGGCTTCGCGCAAAAATTAAAGTATACGAAAATTATATTAATTTTTATGAACTGCAGTGTTAGGCAGCTGGTGCAGTGTGTCGGTTTCCGTCTAAGTGTCTTGTTATTCGAGTCTGTTTCCGTCTTAGTGTCTTGTTATTCAACTCTAAATAGTAAACAAAGCAAATGGCGTCAAACGGATGAAGCTCTCTCTCGTTAGAAATTAAAAGGTCGGTAAAATAAAAAGTTATTGATCAATTCGGCTGAAATTTGGTGTGTGGTCATTGCTAGTCCCCCTGAACATCCTCTGAAAATTTCAAGTTCCTACGACCACGGGAACTGGTAGAGGTACGAAAGTGCAATAGCGCCCAACAAGTCTTGTTGTTTCAAGACATTCAACACGACTGTCAAGTGAGAACAGCGACTAATCATTGAATTGCTAATTGTATTTCAACCCATCAAGATGATTAAACCATGGATCTTATTATAATACATAATTACGGTCCATCATTAAACTTTTTATTTCCTGTCAATATCCAAGACTAGTGAACACCAGCATGTCTCGAAATGATAAAAAAAAATTTTTTTAATAGCAACAGGTACATGGGTGGTCTATATACATGTATATATAACATGTGATTTAGATTATAGGGTCTGTTATTAAGTCAAGAAGTGGAGTTTTGATCCCATGTGACAAGGAGAATAGTATCGCTTGCCCAACCTCATACAAATTATTGAAAGAAAATTCTACCATTTGTAAGTCCGGAAATAACCTAGTTTGTGTCAATTGGAGGGGATCACAGTGGCTATAAGTGGGTTAGATGCTGGCTTGCTAGCCTGGAGGTCGGGTGTTCGATCCCTGCATTGGCCGAGAAGGTTCATCCAGATTTTCCTGTGTTGTTCTCCCTTGTAAGTGATGAAGGATGGAGGGCTTGACAAGGATAGCTGTCTAGTCATTCGAATGGGACAAAAAACATTGCCGTGCACGTAAAAGATCCGTTGACAGTTGGAATTTGATATAAGATTAGGCCGAAGTGCTGCTGTCCGGGCAAAATTTCACTCATATAGCACACTGTATAGCGTATGCCCATCTTCATTAGCCCAGTTCGGAGCAGAACAGTAGGACGATAAACCTCATTTCATTTCTTTCATTTCACCTGTTGATTGGACATTAAACTCTGTTTCCATCTCTCTATTTTCTATATTCACATGGCACACGTATCCATAATAAGAAATGATCATGTTTGTCTGAAAAGGACTATAAGTATTTGATAAGATATTAAATCTCATTCCATTCCAAAGGAACAACATGTTCCTGAAGCAATGACCGCTAGTTTTACACCATCAAGACGTTGCTAGACTGGTCTGCAATTCAAAAAGTTATAGCTGTGTTATCTCCCTTTAATGCAGACACATGAACGATAGCGTTGTCCAATCAGAGGTTGTGGCTCAAACACACTCACATCAAACATGGCGACCGCCACGAAAACCGTGACAGTGAACGAACCTTGAACTTTGCAACTCGATTATCACAGGTAGACATTTTAGCTTGAAAACGTTAGACTTGGTATTCGCGATGATTTAAGAATCTGATAGGGTCCCAAGCTGGTTCAGTATCCAATCGGAATTTGTCCCGAAATTTGCAGGGTTCTTTGTGAAGGGCTTTATAAGATGTACAGAGTTAAAGCAAGATCAAGCCTTCTATTGAAGATGAAGGAACTAATACCTCATTAATGTATTGGACTATTTCAGGATTTAATGAATAAAGTTCTACGTGATATGCCAGAAGATCCAAATATTTACTTACTTCGATGTTTATATAAAAAAAGTGGTTTAGATATCCCCCAGGTAAGTGTTTATATAAAGTTCATTTAAATCACAGGTACAGACAGGTGTATTTGTACATGTACCTATCCAATTTCGTTTCGTTTTTATAGTTCAAAATTTTGATTTTACTTGTCTTTGCTACACTTGGATCTGGAATCGTTGTTATTTAACCCGTGTTCTGCTTGAAATGAGGGGTCAACCAGTCAAATGGTCTGTTGAATCGAGCGTTTGACCTTTTTTGCGTGGAACTGTGGGTAGACATTAGCGCCAATAGAAATCAAAACAAGGCAAAAGTAGATAAAAAATACATGGCGGTCGCTAATTGGTTAATTGAATGACTGACGTAATTGGGTCAAATGTCGCTTGCTTGGTACCTGACGTCATAGAAAGTGAACTCCCACTATAACTTGTTAGATCTACATGTAGTGTAGGCCATCGAAAGTATAAGAAACGAAATATAGATCTGTATTTTAATTAGAATGTGTACCTATTTGATTAGTTTACACCTATAAAAAAAAGCTTGTACCTTGTTCACACATGTTAGGGGCTGTGCTGTCACTTTGGATGGAATGAAAAAACTGTGGTTCACCTGTCTTAACATGGACGAGCAGGTGAAAAATCCTTGATAAATGGAATTTCAGAAAGAAGAAGCTGAAATGTCATTATCCAGGCAAAATTCTCTTCCTAGCCTTAGGGGTGTTGGATGACTGAATGGTTAGCATGTGTGGGGGATTGGATGGTTAGCGCGTGTTTGTTGAATATTGAGTCAACTGGCGTGGTTACGAATCCCTGGTTGTACGTGACAAGGAGTTTTCTCCGGTTTCCTCCCAATGCTAAAGACCCCTACACGCAAGCGAATTAATTATTGAAATAAACTTGAACCATATGTTAGTCCCAAAATGACCTAGTTTGTGTCGATGACCTAGTTTAGAAGATGAACAGTATGAAAGAGTCTAAAAATGACGAGACATTAAACCACATTCCATTCTTTCCAACTTTAAACAGGTTTAGGTGGTTAAGACGCTGGCTCGCTAGCCTGGAGGTCGGGTGTTTGATCCCTGCATTGGCCGAGAAAGTTCATCTGGATTTTCCGACGTGGTTTCCCCTTGTCAGTGGTGCAAGATGGAGGGCCTGACAATGACATCTGTTCTGTCATTCAGATGGGACGAAAGACTGAGGTCCTGTGTACACATTGACATGCACATAAAAGGTGCCTTGGCAGTTCGAATTTGATATAAGAGTAGGCTGTAGCGCCGCTGTCTAGGCAAAATTTCCCTCATTGCATAGCACACTGTATGGCATATGCCCATGTTCATTATCCCAGTCGGAGCAGAACAGTAGAATGTTAAGCCTCATTTCATTTCATTTGAATTTTGAAGGCAGTTTATCATAATTTTGATCCAAGTCTGGTACGTGACTAGAACTCCTATTTAAACTTGTAGGCTTTCTCTGTGTCCTCCCGTTTCTTCCTACTTCTCAAGACTCTCAAGTATATTATTAAAATAAAGATTTTCCATATGTTAGTCTCAAAATAACCTAGTTATTTCTTTTTTTTAGGAGGTTCGTTTTGGTGGAATGAAGAGAAGCAGTACAGATTTTGGTGAATGTTTGTTTATTTATTTTATGGATGTTAATTTAATATCATTAAATAACATTTAGAAGTATAGGTATAATATTCATAATAACACAACTTTATGAATTTACAGGTATCTTTATCAAGCAATGTCATAAAGTTGTGATATTTTGAATGTTAATTTCGACAGAAGATCTGTCATGGATTCAAGTGTTGTGGTTTCGATTCCCTGCTTGTACGTGACAATAAGTAATATCACCTGTCCAACCTCGTGGGTTTTCTCCGGGTACTCCGGTTAGACCCCTGCACACAAGAGTGAATTATTGAAATAAAATTGATCCATATGTTAGTCCGGAAATCACCCAGTTCTCTTTCTCCCCCTTGCTATCATTTTTAAATGACTCATATTTGTCGCATGGTATTTGGGACATTTCTTGAATGACTTATCTCTTGTGCCTGTGGTATTGTTGCTCCTGGCAACCTTTTTTTTAAAGCAAAACGTCTCAGTTTATTTGATTGCCTCATTTAAGGTGAAATTATTTTTCTGTTTAGCGAGATCTCGTACTCCAGAGAGAAGTCGTCGATTTCAAACATCAGCGAGTGCAGGTAAAAATAGTTTCATATTTTAAATTACTGAAGCTTCAAGTTCTAATTTAACTCTTAAAGATGCATTATGTAAAAGCTACAGATACATTATGTAAGAGCTCAAGATACATTATGTTAAAGATGCATTATGTAAGAACTAAAGATGCATTATGTAAGAACTAAAGATGCATTATGTAAGAACTAAAGATGCATTATGTAAGAGATAAAGATGCATAATGTAAAAGCTAAAGATACATTATGTAAAAACTAAAGATGCATTATGTAAGAGATTAAGATAAAATTATGTAAAAGATGCATTATGTAAGAACTAAAGATGCATTATGTAAAAGCTAAAGATACATAATGTGAAAGCTAAAGATGTATTATGTAGAAGCTATGCATTATGTACATGTAAAACTAAAGATACATTATTGAAAATCTAAAGATACATTATGTAAAAGCTAAAGATACATTATGTTAAAGATGCATTATGTAAAAGCTAAAGATACATTATGTAAAAGCTAAAGATACATTATGTAAAAGCTAAAGATACATTATGTAAAAACTAAAGATGCATTATGTAAGAACTAAAGATACATTATGTAAGGGCTAAAGATACATTATGTAAAAGCTAAAGATACATTATGTTAAAGATGCATTATGTAAAAGCTAAAAATACATTATGTAAAAGCTAAAGATGCATTATGTAAGAGCTAAAGATACATTATGTAAAAGCTAAATCTGCCTAAAGCAGGTCTTTATTTTGGCCTGAAATGTTATATAAATTATTAGTTAGACATCTAATCACATGACAAGCCTATAATCAACTCTCTAGACAATCAGATGGCTGGGATTTAAATGGATTTAAATACACACGAGATTTAGATTTATTAATGTGCAGTTTTAGGCCTGATAAATTTATTAATATACAGTTTAAGTTGTCAGAATTTTATTAAATATAAATGTGCAGTTGTAGGCCTGTAATATCAGTAAATTTAATTTCTATATAGATGAAGGATTGAATCGTGCGTATGATAAACCATGGCAGACGTCTCCTTCACCGAACAGACGCACGAAACCCAAAACAGAGGAATTCAAAGCAGGTACTTTGATGTTGTGTACTTATTTGGTGTGTCTTTGGCTTCTAATTTATTTTCTGAAAATCTGAATTGTTAGTTTATTATCCACAAAAAAGCTGTGTGAAAAGTACATGTACGATAACATCCATTCTTATTAGAATACAATACAGATCTATATTTCGTTTTATTTTTAATTACTTTCAATGGCCTCTACTACATTGGTTGAGGATCAAATTACCACCTATCTAATTAAAATACAGATCTATATTTCTTTTCATTTTTTTATACATTTTCGATGGCCTCCACTACATGATGATCGGACCAGTTGTACTGGGAGGTCACATCAGAGGTCATACGAGTGAATTTTGACCCTATGACATTTGATTAACCAATCAGCGTTCATGTTTCTAGTGGGTTACCCACAGTTCTGTGCTCCACACGCCAAAAACTCTCCGTAACAGACCGTTTCATTGGCTAACTCCTCACGTCATCCAGAACGCGGGTTATATAACAACTCTTCCAGATCCTAGTGTAGTAAAAACAAGTAAAATGGAATTTTGAACTGCAAAAAAACAAACAGAATAGGATACTGTGTTTTAGAGGGGTTATGTTACAACTCTTCCAGATCCTAGTGTTGTGAAGACAAGTAAAAAAAAAATTTGAACTATAAAAAACGAAACGGAAGATGAACTGTGTTTTAATCAGGTAGGATAACATCACACAGAATTGTTTGAGTTTATTCCACACAGCAGCTTCCGTACTTTTTGTGATCCCGGCACAACTTTTTTAGGAATTTTTCAGATCAGTTTCCTCTCTAATCTCCTCAACCAATCCCCAGGCGCGGATCCAGGGATGGGGGGGGGGGGGTGCAAACCCCCTCCTACTCAGCTACATAAAATTTTTTGTAAAAATGATATAGACATATGTGATATCTTAATTAATGCTTTGCATCAATAAAATTGAATCACAATGTCATCATATTAATTCATAATAAAAATTGACGTCAAACAGGATGTTGGATTTCTCTGTTTAAAAAGATCAATGTGTATGTATACATACGCCAAAATGACGATAGAGACCATGTATTTCTCAAAAAATTTCAAGCCGAGTGGGGGGGGGGGGATACATTTTCTTAGGAACCTGGCAAACCCCCTCCTGCAAAAATTCCTGGATCCAGCCCTGCTCCCTTCTGCAATATTCCAGAGTTTTTTCATCTTTCCTCCCCAGCCTTACATTCTAACTTCCTAGTCCTACTTGCCTTGCAATTGCCTTTCTCTTTTCTCTTTCCACCCTCCCTCTTCCCATTTCTCCTTCTCCCCCTTCATCCATTTATTTTGAGGGTTGGGTGTCCAAATGGTTAACGTGTGCGCATTGTATCATAAGGTCTGTCATTGAGTCAACTGCTGTGGTTTCGATTCCCCGGTTGTACGTGACAAGGAGTAGGGTCGCCTGTCCAACTTCATAGGTTTTCTCCAGGTTCTCCGGTTTCCACCCACTGGTAAAGACCCTTATGCACAAGCGAATTAATGAACTAAATTAAACCATATGTTAGTCCCGAAATGACCTAGTTTTCGTTTTGATTAAATACACCATTTTCACTCTTATAAAGACCGCTATGCACAAGTGAATAATGAAATAAATTAAACCATATGTTAGTCCCGAAATGACATAAAAAGACAAATTGATTTCAGATGACTAATTAATTACATGTATATTCGTTATAACTACACGTTAAATGTGAAAATACAGACATTTATCTTGCCGACAGATATGCTGGTTAAACTTGATGTAAGACCTGATCTAACCAGCTGTTTAAAAATCACCCCGTGTGTCCTTCATGTAGATGGCAGGTTTATTTTTATTTTAAGCATGTCATCTTTAGTTGATGCGAAGATGCATGGCTTCATTGAATATTTAAAGGCAGGACAGCTTTAGGCAAGTCAGATACGCATGGCTTGGTTGAGGGTTTAAAGGCAGGACATCTTTAGTTGATGCGAAGATGCATGGCTTGATTGAATATTTAAAGGCAGGACATCTTTAGTTGAGTCAGAGATGCATGGCTTGATTGAATATTTAAAGGCAGGACATCTTTAGTTGAGTCAGATACGCATGGCTTGATTGAATGTTTAAAGGCAGGACATCTTTAGTTGAGTCAGAGATGCATGGCTTGGTTGAGGGTTTAAAGTTGTATGTCATCTTTAGTCTAGTAAAAGTCGGATGGCCTGATTGACCATTTGAAGACATATCAACCTTTGTCGAGTCTAGAGATACATGGCTTGACTGAAGGTCTAAAATCGATGGTCTGCCATTAGATAAATAATAAAGATAACTATTAGAATCAACCAGTTTTTATATCTTAACATAGATAGATTACAATGAAAGCTATTCATAGACACCTCCATTAAATTCATCTTGATGTAACCATGGTGACTCGATGAGAATGGGGCCTATTCACTGACCATTCAGGTGTTGATCTTGGTATATTGTCTGTTTATTTATTGATGTGCATGTAAAGGAACGCGGAACAGTTGGAATTCGATGAAAAAAACGCCACTTTTCAGTCAAGATTTCCCACATAGTGAATTGCGTGACATATGCCCTTTCTCATTAGCTCAGTTAGGAAATTAAAGCCCATTTCATTTAAAGGGCATCTCTTAAAGCTACATTACGTAAGATTTAGATAAAGATCTAGCCATTCTTGCTATAATAGTTCGAAAATAGATAATGTAAAATGAATAATTTGAAAATTTCATTCAAATTACTCTATTGCGAGCGAAGATATTAGCCTTTGAAGGTTTGACAAGACGTGTGCAATAATTTCAACCACCGTACTGGTTGTTCAAAGCTAAGTCTTGCTCCTCCATTTTTAGCTTGAATCAAAATATGGCTGAACTGTTCTAATCTATTTAATATCGGAGAAATCCGATGCCATCGAGGGTTGATTATGGCCTGGATGAGTTAATTAATGTCTAATTAATAATTTAGAAAACATTTCAGGCCCAAAGAAAGACCTGCAACAGGCAGATTTAGCTCTTGCATAATGTATGTTTAAACATGATTAATTGAAGATTACGTTTGTGACACAAAAAGTAAAGAAATTTTACTAAAAACATTTTAAAGCTTTAGCGCTTATACATAATGTACCTTTAAGTAACATATAAGATGCCTGTCTAGCCCAGTCAGAGCAGAACAGTAGGAATCATGCCCCTTTTCATTTCGCTTGACAGCCATTTTCTTTGTTCTCAGTATGCTTTAACCTGCTCATGAGTTTGAATAGCATTTCCTGACGTAGGTTAATTAATCTAAAGACTCCTATAATTGAAAGCTATCAATATATGCATGTTCAATATACATTATAGATCTATTTATAGAATAATAATTACTTGTTTAAGATGAAACAGATTAGTGATGGCCTTTGTCATCTTCATTTCCTGTGTATACATTGATGTGAAAGTAAATGATCCCTTGACAGTTGGAATTCGAAATAAGAGTAGGACATTAAACCCCATTTCATTTAAAGTCTGCAGTTGTCATTAGAGCGCCCATACTAGTCACCGACAAGCGATTTTATGTATCAATATCACCCAAACTATTGCAAAAACAACAGATAAATAAGAATAGGCCGTAACGCCGCTTCCTGGGAAAAAATTTCCCTCATAGCATATATACGTCTTCATTAGCCCTGTTGATGCAGAAACGTTGGATGTTAACACTGTAACCCGAGTATCATTTAATCTAGCGTATTTATCACTAATTTCTTTCACATTTGTTTAATATCAAATCTTAGCACGTGCGTGCGGTATCATAAGGCCTGTCATTGAGTCAACTGGCGTTGTTTCGATTCCCCAGTTGTACGTGACAAGATGTAGGGCCACCTGTCCAGCCTCGTGGGTTTTCTCCCGGTCCTCCGGTTTCCTCCCACTGCTAAAGATCCCTATGGCAAGCGAATTATTGAAATAAAATTAAACCATATGTTAGTCCCAAAGTGGCCTGGGTTGTGTCGAGTGGACGTTTAACCCCATTTCTCTCTCTCTATCAAATCTTTGTTTAAAGCTGACTGATTGATTTTGATCATCATAAGTGTCCAATTTTCAAGTATTTAATTTCCTTATCACTGTTCAAAAATTAATCATTATACATCAATAATCAATTGGGTTGTTTATTTTTTAACAGTGATCGAGAAATTAAAACGCTTGTAAATTGGATTATTATTATCAAACTTGAATGTTCAGCTTTAAACTGGACGCTCACCTGCATGTCAACTGAGGGGATTTTTTTTCCCTCCCCTTAAAACTGAAAATCGCTCTCCTTTACAAAGTTATTAGGGGTTTATTATCATTTATCAAACCAGGAATGATCCCATAACATGCAGTTATTGATCTTCAGAACCATTTCCCATACACACAACTAATCACTCTCCTTAATATCGGATTACTCTCCTTAATTTCCTAATCACTGTTCTTAATTTCTAAATCATTCTTCGTATTGAAACTGGGAGATTTTTTTTATGGGAAGCGATTTTTTCAATTTGTTGATTGAGGGGAGCTTTTTTGGGCTCTCCTGAAATACCAAAAAACAACGACTGACACTGTATGGTGTATGCCCGTCTTGATTAGCCTATTTCTGTTTATAGGTAGAAGATCACCAACTAAACACGTTGAATGGAATACTGATAACAAAGTTAAATCTACTTCCTTTGATGATATATGGGAAGATCAAAGTCAACCACGGAAAGAGATTCCTATAGCAACAAAAAAACGTGACCAATCACCTGCTAAACGTACAGCATGGGCATCAAATGAGTTTGGAGTAAGTCAATACCAGTGGTTCTCAACCTTTTATTGCCAATGGCACAACTTGGAGCACACCTGGCTAAATAAATATGAAAAATATTTGAATTTTGCAAAATAAAAACATGGCAAGTCATTGACGGCATACAACCGTAGACAGAGACTAGTCAATGACTCAAACTAAATGAACTTACTTTATTGCTGTGTTTTGATTTTCATCAGTCAAATAACTAGCTTCTTTAGTGAGAAATTTTTCTTCGTATGCTGTTTAAAATTTCGCGAGGAACTTTGGAAGATTTTGCGGCACACTGGTTGAGAATCACTGGTTTATAAAGTTGAAATACCAGCTTGCTACCTTCCGGCCCTAACCTACAAATGCTTAAAATATAGATCTAAATTTTGTTTCTTTTTTTTTATGGGGGGGTGGATGGCCAAATGGTTAACGTGTGTGTATTGTATCATATTGAGTTAACTGGCGTGGGGGGTTGGATGTCAGATTGGTTAGCACGTGGGTACTGTATTATAAGGTCTCTCATTGTGTCAACTCTTGTGGTTTCGATTCCCCGGTTGTCTAACCTCGTGGGTTTTCTCCAGGTCCTCTGGTTTCCTCCCACATCTAAAGACCTCTACACGCAAGCGAATTATTGAAATAAAATGGAACCGTATGTTAGTCCCGAAATGAGATAGTTCGTGTCGAATGGACGTTAAACCCCATTTCTCTCTCTCTCCCTATCAAAAATTCCAAAATAGAAAAATTAAAATAAATAAAAAGAAATACATGTATACATGATAGCCATGGTTTAAAACCCAGCTTAAAGCTTGAGAAGGGGGCGTTAAACTGTCTTCAGACAGCTAACTTCATGATCGCCATGGTTTTATACCCAGCTATAAGCTTAGGGGGGTGGGGGTGGGGGCGGGTCTGACTGCCGTCAGACAGATAGCTTAATGATCACCATGGTTTTATAACCAGCTATAGTGGGTGGGGGTGGGGGGGGCGGGTCTGACTGCCTTCAGACAGATAGCTTAATAAAACCATGGTTTTGTAAGAGCTTTATGATCAAATGTTGATATTTTTAGAATGAGAAGACAAATATATACAGCAGTAATAACTATACCGGCCCTCGTCGTCGTACACGACAGTTAACAACAGAAGAAGATCTTTTAGCTGAAGAACTTCGACCTGTAGCCTCCAGCAATGAGGAGGAAACAGATTCCCGAGTAGCATCAAGGTATCTTTTAATAATTGTTCAGTTTTATTCAGTATTTACAAACATTTACGGGGGATCACGGTGGCTAAGTAGGTAAGACGCTGGCTCGGGTGTTCGATCCCTGCATTGGCCGAGAAAGTTCATCCAGATTTTCCGGCGTGGTTTCCGCTTGTCAGTGATGCAGGACGGAGGGGCTTACAAGGAAAGCTATCCAGTCGTTTGGATGAGACGAAAAACCGAGGTCCCATGTGTACACATTGGCGTTCATGTAAAATATCCCTTGGCAGTTGGAATTCGATATAAGAGTAGGCCTTAGTGCCGCTGCCCGTGCAAAATTTCGCTCATAGCACACTGTATGGTGTATGCCTGTCTTCATTAGCCCAGTTCGAAGCAGAACAGTAGGACGTTAAACCCCTTTTCATTTCATTTCATTTACAAACATTTACAATCTCAGTTGGGGGGAAGGGGGGCTGAGGCTATTTACCCGAAAATTTTCTTTTGTCATCAGAGTTTTTAGAATGAAGCAATCATTAACTAAAATGAATTTTCCATAAAGTTGTGATGGTTGTAATAATATAAATTTACAATATGTTAAGCAAAAAACAACTTAATATTCCCCATTCTCTAATGTTTGTGCCCGAAGAATGGACGGTTTAGCAAATCTGGGGGAGCTGCAGCCCACCCCCTCCTCCACAGGCTCCTATAAAGTTATGATAAATTGGATATAAAAAGTCTGAAGCCAGCGCAACCTCCACAATCCTATCGTCAAGCACCGCACCACAGTGTCAACCTGGTATTAATGCACAGCCACCAAGTATCCCAATTGGGAATAGAATTGATCTTTATTTCACCGATTATGGATAATCATACTGTGTCGCTTTCGAATCTTCTCTCTATCTCATTCTGCAGATTTTAATGATCGTAATTTCAGTCGTGTGAAAGGACCGAGAATGGATGCAGAGAAACATCGTGAAGAATTAGCCAAGATGGTTCGTGGATCTGATAAATCCAACGATTCAGGTTATGAGGATAAATCTGTTAGTGATGAAGATGATGCTCTAGAATTATTGGGTAAATATAAATATATTATTTATTTGCATCCCATCCGAACGACTAGACAGCTAGAATTACTGGGTAAATATATTATCTATTGGTACTGAAATGAAATGGGGTTTAACGCCCTACTGTTCTGCTCGGACTGGGTTAATAATGACAGGAATATGCCATAAAGGAAATTTTGCCCCGACAGCGGCATTGAAACCTAATCTTGTGTTGACTTGTGTTGTGTGAATGTAAACTTCTGTCCATTTTCCTTCCTCCCTTCCTTCCCCCCCCCACCCCAACATATATATATGTTGACTGTTGGTTGGACATAATCCTCTCTCTCTCTCTCTCTCTCTCTCTCTCTCTCACCCATCATATCTGTTTTCAATTGAAATGTCAAGTTAAGTCTTAGAAATGATCTAGCTTGCATTGTTTAGGCATAAACCTCTTCCTCACTTCCTCATTTCCCCCCCACCCCCACCCACTGCCCACCTATCTGCCAAGGGATCTTTCACGTGCATACCATTATATACACAGGACCTCGGTTTTTCATCCCATCCAAATAACTAGACAGCTGTCCTTGTCAATTCCTCCGTTCTGCACAACTCACAAGGGGAAACCTTTCCCCACCGCCTCCCACCCCTCACATCATATATCTGTGTTCTATGTTAATCCTGAAATGACTTGTATTGGATGAAAATCTCTCCATTGTCTTGTCATGAACTAATTATTATAATTTATATTGTTTGATGTTTTTATAGAAGATGCAGAGGAGTTATTAAAAGAAGGAGCCAGACACGTTTCTCAAGATGGTTATAAACTTAGTAGGGTAAGTTCTTTTATTTTTAGTTGGAATTCGATATAAGAGTAGGCCATTGTGCCGCTGACCGGGCCAAATTTCCCTCATAGCACACTGTATGGCGTATGCCCGTCTTCATTAGCCCAGTCGGAACACAACAGTAGGACGTTAAACACCATTTCATTTAATTTATTTTGGGCGGGTTGGGTGGTCTAACGTGTGCGCGTTGTATCATCAGGTCTTTCATTGAGTCAACTGGCGTGGTTTCGATTTCCGGTGGTATGTGACAAGGAGTAGGGTCATCTGTCCAACCTCTTGGGTTTTCTCCGGGTCCTCTGGGTTCCTTCCATTGCTAAAGACCTATACGTGCAAGCGAATTATTGAAATAAAACTGAACCATATGTTAGTCCCAAAATGACCTTTTCTGTTTCAGGTGGACATTAAACCCCATTTCTCTCTCTCTTTAATATATACTATTCAAAAAAAGTAGGGGATATTTGATTTTTAAGTGTTATTAAAGTCACCTAATGAAACTGACGAAGAAACAAATGACAAAATGAAATGAAGTTCACATTCATCGATTTATTCCAAATGATCGTTAGACTAAGTAAGGCACAGACTGACCATTATAAGGGTAAAATGATACCCGGGGTCAAACAGCAAAGTTACCACAGCATCACAACCAAGTCAGTAACGGGTAAATCCTCCTCTGTTTGCCAAACAAGCATTGATCCGACGTGGCATACTCCTAATGAGACGTCTAAGGTCATTTTGGTCCAGATTGTCCCATTCCTGTTGCAACGCAGCAGCAAGTTCTTGGACATTGGCAGGACGTTGTTGACGTTGATGTAACCTCTGTCCAAGCATGTCCCAGACATGCTCGATGGGGGAGAGGTCGGGACTCAGTGCTGGCCAAGGTAATGTGGTGATGTTCTGTTGTTGGAGGTAACCTGTAACGATCCTGGCCCTGTGACATCTTGCGTTGTCATCCTGGAAGATGAAACGGCGGCCATGACGTCGTGTGAACGGCACAACATGGACTGCCAAGATGTTGTCCCGGTAGTACTGGCCTGTAACACGCCCTGCAACAACATGTAAAGCCGTTCTTCCAGCAACAGTGATGCCTCCCCACACCATAACAGAACCACCCCCAAATCGATCATGTCTGATGACGTTAACGTCTTGGAGGCGCTCGTTTCGACGACGCCACACCCTCCTACGTCTGTCCAAAAAATCAACAGTGAACCTTGACTCATCTGAAAACATCACATTGCTCCAGCATCGATTATCCCAGTGTTGATGATCCCTACACCAACGACGTCTTGCCTGAATGTGATGATCTCTCAAACAAGGGATCACGCGAGGACGTCGGGCGCGAAGGTGACCCCTATGCAGTCGATTCCGAATCGTCTGGCCACTCACTCTCACACCAGGGTCTGTTTGAAGACGAGCGCTGATCTGATTTGCTGTGATGACACGATTTCTCAAGGCCAAGGTACGGATAAATCAATCCTGGGCTTGAGTTGTCCCCCTGGGTCGAACTGAGCGTGGTCTGTCCTGTACAGATTGTGTATCACGGTATCTGGACCATAGCCTGCTTATGACAGACTGAGAAACATTCATCGTCCGCGCCACAACCGCCTGTGTTGTGCCGATCTGTAGCATGCCAAGGGCACGTAACCTTTCATTTTGGGTAAGCCGACGCATATCAAAATTTGTTTTCTGGTCACTAAAACAATTAAACTGATGTTTCCACCCTGGAATTCAATGCCACAATGAATGACCCCCATTATGATCCCAAGCATCACCTGCATTCCATGCGGTAGCTATTGGTGCGTTTGGGCGTCACATGTAACTGGAAATGTTTCTTCTGTTAGGTTCTATAGTGACTTTTTTCGTAGTCATTTGCATATTTTAGTATTATGCCCCCAAAATCAAATATCCCCTACTTTTTTTGAATAGTATATATCTCATGAGATTTTATTTCTGTATACCGGTGTATATCAGTATGTTTTACAGTATACCACTGCAGTGTGTATGTATTAACCCGTTAAGCGTGACGTTTTTAAAACGTTAACTACCCCCTATTGTGTAATTAATTTGTCAAAGTGACGAAGAACTATGTACTATGTTCTAAGAATATGTTGGGGAAAATACCTCCAAGGCGTTATATGATGCCCTACACACAGTGAGTGGCAGTTGTCCAGGACGTTATATCTGAAACGCCTATAGAGGGCAGACAGTTAGCTTATATGATTTAATGTATGTCAGAATGAAGTAAAGTGGAGAATTTTTTACCTGAACGTGTAATGAAGGCCTGAAGATCTTCCGCTGGATGCATAATACTGTGTTTCTTTCCTCAATATTTTAATTTCCATATATACAAGCTAAGGGCAGATCAACAATTAGAATTTATAGATATATATATATATATGCAAGAGATTTTGTGAACCGTATTAATTATATTTACAGGTATCGAGACAGAGAACTGTCGAACCGAAAGTTAAACTAAATATAAAGTAAGTAACATTTAACTGTTGGCTGTTTATTAAGATTTTGTCAGTGTCTAGTCGTTCAGATGGGACGAAAAACCGTAGTCCTGTGTATACATTGGCGTGCACGTAAAAGATCCCTTGACAGTTGGAATTCGATATAAGAGTAGGCTGTAGTGCCGCTGTCCAGGCAAAATTTCCCTCATAGCACACTGTATGGCGTATGCCCGTCTTCATTAGCCCAGTTTGGAGCAAAACAGTAGGACGTTAAACCCCATTTCATTTCATTTTCATTTTCTTTATTAAGATTTCTAATTACTGGCTTAAAGACTCCATTGTCCATAACCCGTCGTGTCTTGCAAACACAAGATTGTCCTTCCATATGTTTCAGCTGTCATGATTGGTTGAGATATTTTTTATGCAGTCGGCACTTGCGTTGCACTCCAAAATTCTCTGTACTCCAAAATTCTCCTTTTCACTTGATTGACACTATTTTTGGAATTGAGAGAATTTAATTCTGGAACATTCAATCGAGTATCCCCAAGGTCAGATAAAATATATAATCCATAGTCACAATAATAAAGGGAGGCTACTACAGAAAGAGACGTACAAGAGTATTCTTGCCTTTGATGTGCAAGTTTATTGTAAAATTTTCTGATGTAGAATCATTTATTTACTAATTAATGTTATTTTCATGAATCAATAATTTTAGTCCTATGGTTGTAACAAGGGGTAAGTTTAACAATTGTTATTGATACCAACCAATAAATAAATACTTGTCATACGGAGGAAAAACAAACAACTTATGTTTAGACTTGATTCAAACAATATTATACTACAGGATGGAACTGGGTAGCGACACGGTTGGATTTAGATCTTTGGGGTGGGGCAAAGACTGGGTTTAGACATTTGGGGGCAGTGGCCAGGGCTGGATTTAGACATTTGGGGGCAGGGGCCAGGTGGGATTTAGATCTGTGGGGTGTTGGTCTGAGGTGGATTTAGATCTTTGGGGAGGGGCAAATGCTGGAATCAGAACTTTGGGGGCAGGGCCAGGGTGTTGGATTTAGATTTTTTTTTGGGGGGGGGGAGGGGCTAGGGCACTTCAGATTTGTAGGCCCCTAAGCCTAACAATTGAAGTACAAGACAATAAAAGTGAACTAAAATGAATAATAAACTGCATTTGTTCGAAAAAATTTTAGTTTTCTCAGTTTGTTTCATAACGAATATTTTTGTATGGGAATTTAATTTGGGACCCATGGCTTTTCGCTAAACCCAGGCTTTCACCTTTCTGTGTAGTTTTGTTTGTTTTTTGATCAAGTATTTTCATAAAACTTTGGTGTGTTTTTGTTTTTTTAAGACAATTATTTATTTTGGGTTTTGGTATTAAAGTTAGTTATTGTTTGAATTTTAGCTTTTTATTGTTTCTGTTCCTTTTTAAATATATTTCTAAAAAGATAAAAAGGTATATTTTTGAGGATATACAATTACTGAATATATTACCTTATACAAAGTTTAGAAAACCAATTTTAGTAGCAATTTTCTAGTTTAAGTCCATGAGCATTATTATTTAACAAATCATAAATTCTTGCCTTGGGTTGCTTATTCACAAATCTGTAAACTGAAATATTTAAAGAATGCAGCCTTTTCATTGGATAAGAGCTAGTTGTATTTCAGTCTGATTAAAACACAGATCCTATTTCGCTTCGTTTTTTTATAGTTTAAAATTTTGTTTTACTTGTCTTTACTACACTCGGATCTGGAAGAGTTGTTATATAACCCACGTTCTAGATGATGTAAAGGATTAGCCAATGAAACAGTCTGTTACGGCAAGTTTTTGGCATGAGATGCACGGAACTGTGGGTAACCCACTAGAAACATCAACGCTGATTGATTAATTGAATGTCTGATGTCTGATGCGACCTTCCACTACAACTGGTCAGATCTTCATGTAGTGTATGTCATCGAAAGTAGTAAAAAAACTAAAAAAAAACGTAATATAGATCTGTATTTTAATCATATTGGTGTTAATTTGATCCCCAACCAATAAAAATGCTGAATCCTAAAAATATTTTGATTTAAGTTGACATGACTAAGAACCCTAAGTATCGAATTCCTTCCTGTAGAATATTGAGAAATCTGAGACTAGTTGACCTTGTTAAAATATCTATGACATCTCTCTCTTGTAAAATTGGCAGTTACTTTCTACTCTGATTAAACATCAAGATGCTTTTCATTTATTTTCATTTCTAAAGTAGAATTACAGAAATGGAACAAAATAAAAAGCTAATTTTGATTGGGTTAAACATGTACTGTATAAAGTTTTGTAACAGATTTGAATAGATCTAGGCCAAACCAAATTGATTTTTAATTCTACAGGGACTTAAAACAGGCATTATGCACGAATTAAATCTTTCTTTAGGTCTTAAATGTTATCTAAACTATTAATTAGCTAGACATTTATTAACATGACAAGACCATAATCAAGGCTTCATGCCATCGGATCGTTCTGATTTTAAGTAGATTAGAACGATTTAATGATTTGATTTAAAAATGGTGAAGCAAGGCTAAGTCTTAAACAACTAGTACAGTGGTTACAGTCAATGCAAATATCTTGTCAAAACTACAAAGTCAGAATAAAGTCATTTGAAATAAATTTTCAATATATTCATTTTACATTATCTGTTTATTTTCGAACTGTTATAGCAAGTATGGCCAGCTGTTTATATAAATTTTACATAATGTATCTTTAAACTATTATAGCAAGAACAGCCAGCTCTCCATCTAAATCTTACATAATGTATCTTTAATAAATACATCGCCAGTTGATAGAAGACTGTCGTTCAAAATGCGTCCTGGAATGAATACTTTTAAATAGCAGACAGATTCTTGTCATTGCGTGGCTAGAGGATTGAATTTTGGGAAATAAATAGCAACCTAAATTCTGTGAACAATTTTATTGTTTAAAATTTTTAAACTTAAAAATTTAGAACTAAAACCCTTTAGGAAGAGCTCCAAAAAGTACTTTCTGGATTATTTTTCTTTTTTTTTTTTAAACACAAGAAATAAGATGCAGGATTTGAGTAGGTTTTACCGACGAACAAACGTTAAAATTGGTTTGGCCGTAATGTTGAATCTGATGTAAAACTTCAAGGGGGTACTCGATATCAGTCTGGAATTAACAGAATTAATTACTGACACAGTCCTGTCCGTCATGACAACGGAGGTGGTGTGAGTAGAATCGTGACTTACATAATGACAACAGATATGTTTCGGCTGTCATGGTTGGTTGAGATATTGTCTTATGCAGACGGCACATGCGTTCTGGCCCCAATTTACCCTTTTCACGTGATTGTCACTATTTCTGGAATTAAGAGAATTCAATTCCAGAGTGCTGAATCGAGTATCCCTGAAAAAGTAACTGCCAGTTGAATCCTCTCTAGATTTTGTTTGTCTATCTTTTGCTTGTTACAGTTATTATCCTTCACAGAGTTCTCTTTCCTTGGGTAAGTTGGTGGAGATCACAGCACAAATTTAGTGTGATTAACTTTATAACCCTTTAACCATTGAGTCTCTGAATGTTTTGTAGGAGTTACGTTGGCTCAGTGATTAAGGTGCTGGCTTGATAACCTGTAGGTCCTGGGTTCGATCCCTGTGTTAGCAGAGAAAGTTCTGGCGTGGTTTCTCCATTGTCAGCGAGTAAGATTGTGGGCGTGGCAAGGAACAGTGTCTTGTCCTATGTTCACATGGGTGTGCACGTAAAAGAACCCTTGACAGTTGGGTATAAATTAATCTTGTGTATTTAACACTAATTTCTTTAACATTTGTTTAAATAATATCAAATTCTTGTTTAAAAATTCATAAAAATCATTTAAAATCACCCAAAATCATCTAATTTGTACCTGTGTCCGATTTAAAAGCTGACCGATTAATTTTGATAATTATTGTCCAATGTACAAATATTTAACTTCCTGACCACAGTTCAAGAGTTAACTATTAACAGACTGATTTATTTTGATAATAAGTGTCAAATTTACAAGTATTTAATATCCTGACCTCTTTTCAACATTATACATCAATATTCATTTGGGTTGTTTTTTTTAACAGTGATCGAGAAATAAAAAGCTTGTAAATTGGACACTTATACTCAAAATTAATCAGTCAGCTTTAAACTAGGCACAAGTACAAATTAGATTATTTTTGGTGATTTAAAACGATTTTTAAACAAGGATTTGATATTGAATGAATGTGATTGAAATTAGTGCTAAATACAGAAGATTAAATGATACTCAGATTACAGTGACATTGCATGGTGTATGTCCGTTCTTCATTAGAAGGGCCAAACAGGGACAGCTGTCTAGTCCTTCGGATGAGACAAAAAACTGAGGTCCCGTGTATACATTGGAATGCACTTAAAAGATCCCTTGGCAGTTGGAATTCGCTATATAAGAGTAAGTGATAGTGCCACTGCCCGGGCAAAATTTACCTCATAGCACACTGTATAGCGTATGCCCGTCTTCATTAGCCCAGTTTAGGAGCAGAACAGTAGGACGTTAAACCCCATTTTATTTCATTTCTTCATTAGAACAGTAGGATAATAAACCCCATTTCATTCATTCACTGAATCCTGGGGCGTAAGTAATCGAAGAAAACCGACACATTATAACGTTGCTATCTGGTTTGTCTCCAATATTCCATCTTGTGGTACTAGTTATATTAACAGTTGTTTGGCCATCCCACATCTGAACAGGGGGAGTTAGATGGCCGAATGGTTAGTAGCGCACGCTGTATCATAAGGTCTGTCATTGAGTCAGTTGCCATGGTTCCAAATCCACGGTTGTACGTGACAAGGAGTAGGGTCGCATGTCCAACCTTGTGGGTTTTCTCTGGGTCCTCCGGTTTCCTCCTACTGCTAAAGACCCCTACGCGCAAGTGAATTATTGAAATAAAATTAAACCATGTGTTAATCCCAAAATGACCTAGTTTGTGTTGAGTGGACGTTAAACCCCATTTCTCTCTCTTTCTCTCATAGTGTAGGCACGACAACATCACGGCCAGACATTCATTGACTCATGTTTAAAGGGTTAATGTACGATATATCAAAAAACAATCTGATTAAAACACAGATCCTATTTTGTTTCGTTTTTATAGTTCAAAATTTCGTTTTACTTGTCTTTACTACACTAGGACCTGGAAGAGTTGTTATCATTGACGTGTTCTGAATGGTGTGAGGGATTATCCAATGAAACAGTCTGTTACGGCGAGTTTTTGGCGTGCGATGCATGGAACTGTGGGTAAACCACTACAAACATTAACGCTCATTGATTAATCAATGTCTGATGTCATAGGGTCAAAAGCCGCTGGTATGACCCCTGACGCAACCTTCCACTACAACCGGTCAGATCTTTATGTAGTGTAGGTCATCGAAAGTATAAAAAAACGAAACAAAATATAGATCTGTATTTTAATTAGATTTTAACAAATAGCTGGTTTATTTTATCTATTCTAAGAAGATATTGTTTATAATATCTGGGGGGTTGGATGACCGAATGGTTAGCATATGCGCGCTGTATCATAAGATCTGTCATTGAGTCAACTGGTGTGGTTTCGACTCCCCGGTAGTACGTGACAAGGAGTAGGGTCGCCTGTCTAACTTCGTTACATGCAATGTTATTATTGAAATAAAATTAAACCATATGTTAGTCCTGAAATGACCTAGTTTGTGTCAAGTGTACGTTAAACCTCATTTGAAATACCCAAATCTGACATATCTTATTGAAATAAACCAGCTGAAGCTCTTTATTCTATGTCGGGAATTTTTTTGGGGGGGGGGGAGAGAGAGGGAGAGAGAGAGAAAAATGGGGTTTAACGTCCACTCGACACAAACTAGGTCATTTCAGGACTAACATATGGTTTAATTTTATTTCAATAATTCGCTTGCGCGTAGGGGTCTTTAGCAGTGGGAGGAAATCGGAGGACCCAGAGAAAACCCTCGAGGTTGGACAGACGACCCTACTCCTTGTCACGTGCAACTGGGGATTCGAAACCACGCCAACCGACTCAATGACAGACTTTATGATACAACACGCGCACGCTCATGATTCAGCCATCCAACCCCCCCGTGGAATTTTGGAATACTATCAAGGCATGAAATATGGAAAAAAAAACATATATATTTCATGCATAAACATCATATTTCAAGTATCTTTCCAATAATGTAGCATGATTTGTCGAATTATAAGCTTCTTGCTATATGTAAAATTGTTCTGGGTTGAAATAAAATCTTCTTTTCTCTATTATTTCTATTGTCATGTTCACAAACTTTAACTAATCAGCTTTTAACACACGCTTTAATCAAATTTTCTCTGCTTGTGTAAAATAGAAATATTAGATTTTTATTTCATCAATACATTAAGGACGGCATGCAGACATAAAAAGTTGTATATTGATTTTTTTTTTTTTTTTTTCAAGAATTCAACTTTCCACCTGTTCATGTCTGGGGATACTTTTTCTTCATTCTGTTTAAAATACCGATCTATATTTCGTTTTATTTTTTTTATACTTTCGATGGCCTCTGCTACATGAAGATCTGACCGGTTATAGTGGTTTTTGACCCTATGATGTCATACATTTGATTAACCAATCATCTTTGATGTTTCTAGTGGGTTACCTACAGTTCCGTGGAACCAGACCGTTCCATTGGCTAATCCCTCACATCATCCAGAACGCAGGTTATATAACAACTGTTCCAGATCCTAGTATCGTTTAATCTTGTGTATCTAGCACTAATTTCTTTCACATACGTTTAATATCAAATCTTTGTTCAAAAATTTGTAAAAACTGTTTAAAATCACCATAAATCGTTTAATTTGTACTTCTGTTCAGTTTAAAGCTGACCATTGAATTTTGATAATGAGTTTCCAATTTATAAGTGTTTAATTTCTCAATCATTGTTAAAAAATAAACAACCCAATTGATTATATAATGATGTATAATGATTAATTTTTGAACAGTGATCAGGAAATTAAATACTTGTAAATTGGACACTCATTATCAAAATTAATCAGTCAGCTTTAAACTGGACACATGTACAAATTAGATGATTTTTGGTGATTTTAAACAATTTTTACGAATATTTAAACAAAGATTTGATATTAAACGAATGTGAAAGAAATTAGTGCTGGATACACAAGATTAAACGATACCTGGGTTACAGTGTATAGTGTAGTAAAGACACATAAAACGAAATTTTGAACTATAAAAACGAAACGAAATAGGGTCTGTGTTTTAATCAGATTGAGATTTTCTTCTGCTTGTTTCACATAAATGTATCATTTCTAATTTTTTTTCTGTATTTAGCTTCTGCCTGTAAATTTTCCAAGCTTTATGTGTTTTATTGTTTGTATTTGCTGGTTATATGATACAGGATCTGAAATATAACTTGCTTATCTGTAACGACAGTTGGCATGAGCCTTGTCATTGACTATTCGTAATATTGTTACTGGTTTTGAAATAAGTGAACTTTCTCAACGTCCTTGGTTTTTTACCCCGCAGGAATATCGTTGCGCATACACTAAATTTACTAAATAAGACAATTTGTCTGCAATGTAACTGTCAGTAGAAAGACAAACAGACAAACAAACGACAAATGTTAGTTTATAGATATATGGTGCATGTGCGCAAAGACTCATATTAAATTTACATTCTTATAAAAACTCACAAATTTCCTTACGATCAGCCAATACACTGCCATGGCTAGATGAATCCCTTTTCAAATACAGCAATCCCAGTGCATGAATTATTGTTTAAGGTCTTGCAGATTGTACAACGTAAATGTTTGATGCTTGCTGTAACGGTAAAAACATTATAAAGATTTTGTTGTTAATATACGACAAATGGTTTGAGGATAGAAAAATTAAAAATGTTTTGTAACACAACACAGTTCTATGGATAACAATTACTATATTATATACACATGATGTTGCTACAAGAATTCACTCGTAAATTTGTACGACCAGTGAAATCTTGTGGAAATGTGTGTATACACTGTAACCCGGGTATCATTTAATATTGTGTATCTAGCATTAATCACTTTCAAATTCATTCAATATCAAATACTTGATTAAAAATTTGTAAAAAATCATTTAAAATCACAAAATTTACTAATTTTTACTTATGTCCAGTTTAAAGCTGTTAAAATTTAAATAACCCAATTGATTATTGATGTATAATTTTGTAGTTTTGACAAGATGTGTGCATTGTGGTAACCAGGGCACTGGTATATTCGAGACTTAACCTCGCTTTCCTATTTTTAAATTAAATTTTTAAATGGCGAACCATTCTAATCTAGTTAACATCTCGAGTATTCAATGCCATCAAGAATTGATTAAGGTCTTGTCATGTTAATAAATGTCTAATTAATAGTTTATATAATATTTCATGCCTAAATAAAGACCTGAAATAGGCAGATTTAGCTAGTGCATAATGTATGTTTAAATAATACCTGAGTTACAGTGATATATAGTGATTGTCATCTATAGAACTGTGTTGTGTTATTTTATGTTCAAAGATTATATATATAGAACTGTGTTGTGTTATATTATGTTCAAAGATTATATTAATGTTTTGATTTCAGGTAAATCACCTGGATTTAATATTGATGATTCAGATACTGAAGTCCGACAACAAACAGGTGAGAGAGAGTGAGGGAGGGAGAAAGAATGAGAAAGAGAGAGATCAGTGATGAGATCAGAGATTAGATGAGAGAGAGAGAGATTAATGCCGGCTCCACACAAACTAGGTCATTTCGGGACTAACATGTGGTTCAATTCTATTTAAATAATTCGCTTGCGCGTAGGGTCTTTAGCAGTGGGAGGAAACCGGATGACCAGGAGAAAACCCATAAGGTTGGGCAGGCGACCCAATGCCTTGTCAATGACAGACCTTATGATACAGAGCGCTGCAAAAACTAATATATTTTTGTATTAACTGTAGGGGAGTTGGGTGGCCGATTGGTTAACTCGTGCACGTTTGATCCTAAGGTCTGTCATTGAGTCAAGCGGCATGGTTTCGTTTCCACGCTTGTACGTGACAAGGAGTAGGGTCGCCTGTCAAACCTCGTCGGTTTTCTCCGATTCCTCCAGTTTTCTGCCACTGCTTAAAGACCCCTATGCGCAAGCAAATTACTGAAATAAAATTGAACCGTATGTTAGTCCCGAAGTGACCTAGTTTGTGTTGAGTAGACTTTAAACCCGATTTCTCTCTCTCTCTCGTATTAAATGTAGCTGCGAATTGTCTAACTTATATGCTTTAGATCATAAGACCTGTCGAGTCCGGGTTTCTCCCACTTCTAAAGACTCCAACGTGCAAGCGAATTATTGAAATAAAATTAAACAAGATGTTAATCATCCTCATTTCTCTCTCTTAAACTTTACTACAACCTTTATTGACAAATAAACATTAGTTCTTTACACATTGGCGGGGGTTGGATCAATGAACGAATGGTTAACACGTGCGCGCTGTATCATAAGATCTGTCAGGATCATAAACGAAAAGGGGGGTTGGATGGCTGAATGGTTAGCGTGCGCGCGCTGTATCATAAAGTCTGTCATTGAGTCGACTGGCGTGGTTTCGAATCCCCGGTTGTACGTGACAAGGAGTAGGGTCGCCTGTCCAACCTCGTGGGTTTTCTCCGGGTCCTCCGGTTTCCTCCCACAGCTAAAGACCCCTACGCGCAAGCGAATTATGTAAATAAAATTAAACCATATGTTAGTCCCGAAATGACCTAGTTTGTGTCGAGTGGACGTTAAACCCCATTTCTCTCTCTCTCTCTCTCTCTCTCATAAACGAAAAACAGATTAGCTAAAAGTCTAAACTATACCTTCCGATACATTAATGACATAACACCCATCAATGATAACGGAAATTTCAACAAATATAAAAGTAAAATATATCCCCCTGAACTAATATTAAATAAAGAAAATTCTGGTACTATAAATGCATCTGTTCTTGACCTGGACATCAATATAATTAACAATAAATTTAATGTTGGTATTTTCGACAAACAGACTAATTGGTTTTGAAGTAGTAAAATACCTGTCAGTTTATCGTAACACACCAGATACCACGCTGTATAGTGTTTTCTATTCACAGGCATTTTGATTTTTATACGCCCACATTTTCATGTTGACGTATATTGTCGTCGTCCGGTCGTCCACAATTGTTTGTGGACACTCTACAGGTCACAATTCTTATCCGATTTGGACGAAACTTGAAATATAGGTTTATCTCCAATAGATCTCGGTTGCTTTCGATATTGGCATGTATCGGCCGAAACTTCATGGATTATGGCCCCTGATTGTACGAAAAATCACGTTTTTAGCCTGTGGACCCTATAGAGGTCATAATTTTTACCCGATTTTGTTGAAACTTGAAATGTAAGTTTATAACCCGAAGATCTCGGTTCCTTTTGATATTCTCGCATATCGAATCGTAACTTCCTGAATTATGGCCGCTGATTGTACGAAAAATCGCATTTTTAGCTTGTGGACCCTATAGCGGTCATAATTTTTATGCGATTAAAAAAACGTTTGAATATATCACCGTTACACCCTAAGGATGGTTGAGTTCGAATTTCGTAAAAATCGGGCCAAAACTGACAGACAAAATGGCCGCCCCTCATACTCTAATAGTGTAAAAATATGATATATCAAGGTTGTGGACTATCTAGAGATCACAATTTTCTTCTGATTTTGATGAACCTTGAAATGTAAGTTTATAACCCAAAGATCTTGATTCCTTTCGATATTTGGGCATTGTAACTTCCTGAATCATGGCTTTTGATTGTACGAAAAATCGCTTTTTGTTTAGAGTGTTCTCTATCCATCTCTTGCAAAATGTGGGCGTATCCTGCCTGGCAGCCGCTGGTTAACAATATGTAACGATAAAGAACTATTTCTTTCCCGAATAAAATATTTTTATTTTAAGTGCACTGTAAAAGGTGGTACACAATTACGCATTTTAAAAGAAATTTCGAAACTTCCATTTCTTCAACATATTAAGTTTGACATTTCTTATAAGTTTATAACCAACTATATAACCAACTACATATTGGATAATGACCCAATTTAATATTTATTTTAAATTTTCTGTAGTTTCCTAATCCTATCTGGTTTATCGCCCTTATTTTATGCCTTTATGAATACACTTACATAGTAGATTTCTTCAGAATACCTGTTTTGCATTTCTTGTAGGTGTATTATGTATTGATTTCTTCAGCATACCTGTTTTGCATTTCTTGTAGGTGTATTATGTATTGATTTCTTCAGCATACCTGTTTTGCATTTCTTGTAAGGTTATTACGTATTATATTTTCTTCAATTACAAAGCTGAATAATTCCGATTAGTTGCAAAACTGATAGTTTATTAAGTGTTTGGCGTTAATTTATCTCGATTATCACCCTTTTTATTGTGTTGTTTTTCTCACTTTCTAAAATTTTGACGTCATTGACAATCTACCGCCTTTTATGTCACGTCATTCAGTCAGCAGACAGCTGTCTTTCGAGACGGTCTACATTTTCTCATTTGCTTCTTTGTATTCAGTATTTGTTTGTTTTTGCTCTGTTTTTTGTGATGGGTGGAACATTTACCCTACTGTGTTCAATATCCCTCGATACTATTGAATACTAAAACGTCTCTTAATTGACTTAGAGCATTTAGTGTTTTAGACTACCTGTTTTTTTATACATTTCACCGATGTAGTTACTTGTATAGTTAAATTTTACTACAATATGCTGGCATTACACAACGGTTTCTCTGGGTTATATTCCTGATTGTTTTCAAATTTGAGTGAAGTCTGTGTCACTACAGGCTCAGGACTGTACAGCTCAGTGGACGCTTACGGCTAGCCTCTGATCCATTCACTTTTTTTATACGCCCATATTGAAATGTGGTCATATATTGTTGTCGCCCCCATCCGTCCGTCTGGCGTCCACAATTGCTTGTGGACGCTCTAGAGACCAAAGTCAATATCCGGTTGACTTTAAATTTATACACAGTGTTTAAGGTCATGAGACAAAGAAGTCTATTCATTTTCAGTGATTTTCGATAATTACTGTCACGGTTATGGCCCTTGATCACTTTGAAAAATCTTGTGACGCTCTAGAGGCTAAAGTTATCATCCGATTGACTTCAGATTGATACACAGAGTTTAAGAGCTTGAGACGAACAAGTATATTGATTTTCAATGAATTTTTATGACTTGAACAGCTAAATCCATGATATTAAAAACCAAACAAATTCTAATGGTTTTCTGATAATTACTTCATGAGTGTATTATAAATGTTTCATTACCGAAAGAAGTAAAAATATGCGACAACACTTGTTGACTGCCCGGACGATTTAGCTGCTGTGGGCGTATGTTTCGTTGCCTGGCAACCTATCTTTGAATTGTGCGTTTGTTTGTGATTTCTGTGTATTATGTCTTGTCCGTAGATTTGTTTTTTTGTAAATTATGTGTGGTGCAGTCCCCCTGCTCTTACTATCGAGTCAGCTGCCGTGGTTTCGATTCCCTGGTTTCGATTCCCTGGTTGTACTGACAAGGAGTAGGGTCTCCTGTCCAACCTTGTGGGTTTTCTCGGGTCCTCCGGTTTCCTCCCACTGCTAAAGACCCCTACGCACAAGCAAATTATTGAAATAAAAATTAAACCATATGTTAGTCCCGAATTGACCGAGTTTGTGTAGAGTGGACATTAAACCCTCTCTCTCTCTCTCTCTTTCTCTCTCTCTCTCTCTCTCTCTCTCTCTCTCTCCACACATTGGCAAATTTCCCCTCACAGCACACTGCATGGTGTATGCTCGTTTTCATTAGCCCAGTTTCGAAGAAAAATAAACACACTAAAATTTATAAACCAAAAAGTGCGAAAATTTATAATTATCTTAATTAATGACTTTTAACACGCAGAAGAGATGATAACAAGATCATTTTCTTGTTTTTCTTTGGTATGAAATAGAAAACGATGTTAATTGAAGAGCACTAATTATAAACTGACGCAATTGATTTTTACAAGTGTTACAAACTGTGAACTATTTTATCATGTAGTGTACAAACAGAAGAGTTATATAGCAATAATTGTACTATATTTTATATTAAACAGAAGAGTTATATTGCAATAATTGTACTATATTTTTTATCGGAGCTGCGCTTTCGACAATGGTTAGAGCATTGTAATTGATTCTCGTAGAACATTTAATGCGGCATTATGGGAGATTAAATAAAGAGCTGACAGTTGTCACTATAATAGAGTAGGCCATAGCACACTCATAGAACCCTAACCCTATGCCTGTCTTCATTAGCCCAGTCGAAACAGAACAGTAGGATGTTAAACCCAATTTCTTTTCATTATAATAATCTTTTTTCTAGATTTTAGCTAAACCGTTTGATTCCGAATTCGTAACCGGGAGTTTGGTTTCTCATGTTATTCATTATCAAATAAAATTTCGTCAAATGTAGACAACTGGCCTATACTAGATCCTCTCATACTCAACGCAGTGTACGTGTCGTTTGATTATTACCAATCCCACTAAACACTGCTGTAACGAAAGCAAATTTCTGTTCCAAATTATGACTGGTCAATGGTCCAATTAACAACCAATAGCTAACTGCGCTACAAAAGCATTACGCTTAAAACAGAGCTCCAAATTGGACCAAATATGTTTACATAACGTTACGTCATGATTCACAAATTTATTATGCCCAATTAACCAGTGCATAGCAGAATATTGCAGAAAAACTAATTGCGTGACAAACGAGGCTATCAAATCGAAAACAATGTAAACAATACTGTTTGGAGACGAACAATACTTCCACCGTTTTTAATACCTTAAATCACTGTCCAAAGTTTTAGGGAAGACCCTACAAACTAATTTTTCATTTAAATCATATTGCTCTTGTGTTGGGGGGTGGATGGCCGAATGGTTAGCACGTGCATGTTGTATCATAATGTCTGTCATTGAGTCAACGGCCGTGGTTTCGGTTCCCCGGTTGTACCTGACAAGGAGTTGGGTTGCCTGTCCAGGTCCTTTGGTTTCCTCTCACTGCTATAGACCCCTATGTTAGTCCCAAAATGACCTAGTTTGTGTCAATTGGATATTAAACCCCATTTCTCTGTCTCTGTTTCGTTTCGTTTTTATAGTTCAAAATTTTGTTGTCCCCCGCCTTTCGAAGAAAGCAGGGGACTATTAAAATGGGTTCGTCCGTCTGTCTGTCTGTCTGTCCGTCTGTCTGTCCGTCTGTCCGTCCGTCTGTCTGTCCGTCTGTCTGTCCGTCCGTCTGTCTGTCCGTCACACTTTTTGGGACACAATAACTCTCTTCCTAATTGAGCTAGAATGTTCAAACTTGGTGTATGTGTTTATTAGGTCAATGCCTTGATGGAGTTCGAAGATGAGCATTTTCCGCTTAGGGTAAGCAGAGATAAGCAATTTGATTGGTTGATGCTTTGGGACACGATAACTCTCTTCCTAATTGGGCTAGAATGTTCAAACTTGGTGTATGTGTTGATTAGGTCAATGCCTTGATGGAGTTCGAAGATGAGCATTTTCCGCTTAGGGTAAGCAGAGATAAGCAATTTGATTGGTTGATGCTTTGGGACACGATAACTTTTAATTGAGCTAGAATGTTCAAACTTGGTGTATGTGTTTATTAGGTCAATGCCTTGATGGAGTTCGAAGATGAGCATTTTCCGCTTAGGGTAAGCAGAGATAAGCAATTTGATTGGTTGATACTTTGGGGCACGATAACTCTCTTCCTAATTGAGCTAGAATGTTCAAACTTGGTGTATGTGTTGATTCGGTCAATGCCTTGGTGGAGTTCGAAGATGAGCATTTTCTGCTTAGGGTAAGCAGAGATAAGCAATTTGATTGGTTGATGCTTTGGGACACGATAACTTTAGTTCTAATTAAGTGAGATTGATGAAACTTGGTGTATAGATTTATTATATGAATACCTTAACTAAGTTCGATAATGAACATTTTTTGCTGAGGGTAAGCAGAGTGATAAGCAATTTGATTGGTAGAAACTTTGGAACACAATAACTCTCCTTCTAATTGAGGTAGAATGTTCAAACTTGGCATAGGTGTCTATTAGGTGAATGTTTAAACTTGATGTATATGTAGATGTTCATTAGGTGAATGTCTTGACTGAGTTCAATAATTAACATTTCGAGCTGAAGCTAAGCAGAGCTAATCGATTTCATTTGTCGATGGTTTGGGACAAGATAATCTTGATTCTATCTGATAGAGAGTGATGAAACTTAGTGAAAAAAATAAATGTGCGATTAATTAATATGTGTCATCTATTTATTTTGCAATTTCGGCGGGGGACATCAGCCTCACTGTTGGCTTGTTTTACTTGTCTTTACACTAGGATCTGAAAGAGTTGTTATTCAACCCATGTTCTGATTGATGTGAGGGATTAGCCAATGAAACAGTCTTCCACTACAACAGATCAGATCTTCATGTAGTAGAGGTCATCAAAAGTATAACGAAACGAAATGAAATATAGATCTGTATTTTAATTTTTTGTATTTATTTATACAGGTATGAAGACAGTACTAGATTCAGACGACGAATTTGAAAGTGTTTCTCAAGTTACTGGTCCGGTATGTCAACATTTTATTACTGTTTGATGATGTTAATATCTTACTAGGGGTTTTTAGGGAAATATAGCCCTTTCTGGTCGCAGAAACTTTACGAGCTTATGACCACTCAGCGACCCAACTCCATTTTAACTGATATTGTATGCTCAATTGTCCTGACTAGGAGGTCTCGAGTTCGCTCCCGATGTTGGCCGAGAATGTGCGTCAGGATTTTCTGGCATGGTTCCCTATTGTCCATGGTGCAGGACGGAGGGCCTGGAAAAGAGTAGGGTCCCCTGTCCAACCTCGTGTGTTTTCTCCGGGTTATCCGGTTTCCTCTCCCTGCTAAAGACCCCCTACACGCAAGCGAATTATGGAAATAAAATTATAATAATAATAAGAAGAAGAAGAATAATGACTTTATTTTCTGAAGGAACATATTTTACATGCACGCCAATGTGTACATGGGACCTCGTTTTTTCGGCCCATCCGAACAACTAGACAGCTGTCCTTGTCAGGTCCTCCATCCTGCATCACTGACAAGGGGAAACCACACCGAAGAATCTGGATGAACTTTCTCGGCCAATAATGCAGGGATCGAACACCCGACCTCCAGGCTAGCGAGCCAGCATCTTACCCACTTAGCCACCGTGATCCCCCAAGTTATAATAAAGAAATATCAAACAGACAAGAAAGAAAAAAAAACATACATTCAAAGGACAACAGTAATTAACAAGGGGCTATCTATATACCAGAAAACACCAGAATAATAGGATTCCCCTCTTTTTAATCCCTGTAAGAGTTTCCGTTGTGTATGTTTAGTTGTAAATGGCCCCCTAATCAAAGGTGTTAAGATTTAATTGTATTTGATTGTTATTTTTGTTTCAAATTCTGTATATATTTGCCTACTATGCTTGATAAAGATGAGAGTATCCTTGTTGAAACATCGCATAATATTAAACTCAGTAATTGTGTATCCATAAAATTGTACCTTGTGTTAATATGTTCAATTACTAAATGTCAATCAAAGAAGATGAAGACACATTTAGTCCCGAAATGACTTTAAATCCCATATCTCTCTCTCTCTCTCTCTAGATGCCAACTTTTTGTCTGAACAAAATTAGATTGAATTTTATTTTTTTTGTAGCGAGAACCTGTTTGGAATTTTAGAGATACAACAGATTCTGATGGTAAATTTACAAACAATTTTTATTAACGTCTGACTAACTTGCTAAAAGAAGAAATCTCAATCTCAAACAATCTGATTAAAATACAGATCTATATTTTGTTTCAATTTTTTTATATTTTCGATGGCCTATATAGTTGTTTCAATTGCCTACACTACATGAAGATTTGACCGGTTGTAGTGGGAGGTCGTGTCAGATATCATACCTGCGGCTTTTGACCCTATGGCATCAGACATTTGATTAAATAATCTGCATTGATGTTTCTAGTGGGTTAAGCACAGTTCCATGCACCACATGCCAAAAATTCGCTGTAACAGACCGTTTTATTGGCTAATTCCTCACATCACCCAGAATGCGGGTTATATAACAACTCTTCCAGATCCTAGTGTAGTAAAGACAAGTAAAACGAAATTTTGAACTATAAAAACGAAACGAAATAGGATCTGTGTTTTAATCAAATTGGATATAAGATATACATGTATAAATAGACATTAATTAACTTATCCAGACCATAATCAACTCTCGATGCCATTGCTAGCCTGCGATCTTAAGTGGATTGTGAGCCGATTTACTGCATAACTTTCCTTCACGATTTAACGATTAAATGGATAATCGAGACTATACTGTTTAACTTACTGACTTTAGTAATGATGACCGAGGCTAGGCAGAAATTTTATTCGCTTAGTTCTCGGTTCAGAGTAGATCAATTTGAATGAAATTTTCAGCAAATTGCCTTTACGTTATCTAGTTTTTAATTATTATAGTAAGAACTGCCAACTCGTTATCGAATCTCCCATAATGTATCTTTAAAAAAAAATCCATGCACTACCATGTTTTTATTAAGTATAGAATGAATAACAACAAGGGAATGCACAGGCCTTTTCTATTTTTCTCATTTTCTCTTATCTAGTGACAGCCAATTCTTTTTTTTGAATTGTCAGATATCCTATCACAGCCTCACATAACAACTAACACGGAATTATAAGTGAAATGAAATTCGCCCGTGTATCTGTTATCACTCGTCACTTTAGTCTGTTATGTAGAAGGATAACTCGCGTTTGTCATTTTTGTCGTCACTTCCCGGTTCTTGAAGTGTTTGTTACGCATCTACGATAGCAATGTTCTCTATGTTAAAGTTATATTTGGAATATGTTTAACCTTTTATGTCACATATGTAATAATGGCTGACACCAATATTGTCCTTTAAATTAAATCACGTTTGAGAAATAACTTAAATTATTAAATGGCCGAACCGTTCTAATCTAGTTAAAATCTTGAGCATCCGATGGCATCAAGAGTTGATTATGGTCTTGTCATGTTAATAAATGTCTAATTAATAGTTTATATAACATTTAAGGCCTATAGAAAGACCTGCAATAGGCAGATTTAGCCCTTGAATAATGTATCTTTAAGTTCTAACCATAAAGTGATGTGTCACTTAATATTACCGTGAAATAAAAGGACAATGTTCTTGGTGTCAGTAATTTTTTATTTTTTTTTACTAAAAGTACTTTTGATTGTGTATAGTATTAAAGGACAATATTGGTGTGATAGAACTGGTTAAACGCGTTCCAAATATAATTTTAACACAGAGATCATTGCCAAGATAGATGCATAATGAAGATTTCAAGAAACGGAAGTGACGAACGCGAAAGGAAAACACAAGTTATCCTTCTATATAACTGACTGAATTGACGAGTGATAATGGATACACAGGCGAATTTCTGCTCAATAATGAAAAGTTGCTATGTGAGACTATGAACAAGATATCTGACAATTCAAAAAGTAATTGAATGTCACTAGATAAGAGAAAACGAGAAAAATAGAAATTGTCCGTACATTCACGCGTGTTTATTCATTCTATACTTAATAAAATCATGGTAATGCTCAGACTTTCCTATTTTTTTGTTTTGATTTGTTTGGTTTTGTATTTTTTTCTAGTTGAGACGTATGGTCATCCAGTTCGTGGCAGACACAGTGATCGTCGTAGTTACACATCTACACACAAAGACAAGTAATAAAATATTTTATAGTATCTATTAATCAGGTGCTACCTTTTAGGATTCTCATTTGCATGAATGAGATTAATGTACATTTATTTTTTTATTGTTGCCTGCACTAGACATATTCCTGAAGAAATGGCCCGAGAAATCCCTCTCTGGCCATTGCTGGATTGGCTTCTCATACTTGAGCTTTTGAGGGGGTGTGTCTATTCTTCCCGTTGAATCAAATCTATCCCAAGTACAGCAGCACGACAGTCCTTCCTTCAATCTGGGGTCTTCCCTAAAACGGTGGCTAAGTAGGTAAGATGCTGGCTTGCTAGCGTGGAGGTCGCATGTTCTATCCCTGCATTGGTTGAGAAAGTTCATCGGGATTTTCCGACATGGTTTCCTCTTGTCAGTGATGCAGGACAGAGGGCCTGAAAAGGACAGCTGTCAGTCATTCAGAATGGGACAAAAGAAAACAGGGTCCTGTGCATACATTGGCATACACGTAAAAGATCCCTTGGAATTTCGATATAAGAGTAGGCCATAGTGCCACTACCCACGCAAAATTTCCCGGATAGTACAAAAAAAACGAGGTCCCGTGTAAAAACTGGCTTGCACATAAAGGATCCCTCGATAGTTGGAATTTGATATAAGAGTAGGCTGTAGCTCCGCTCTCTGGGCAAAATTTCCCATCATAGCGTTTCTTCCTTTTCCCAGTCAGAGCAGAAAAGTTGGATGTTAAACCCGGTTTCATTTTATTTTCAAATCGCAGACGTTTGTCTTGTTTAGTGTGTTTGGTCCTATGTGACTCTATTTATATGATTTTCAGGAAAACAAGTATGGCCGCCACGTTGCCTTTACGTTCCAGTTCTCAAACAGTTTCAGACGTATTACACCGAGGTGGTGGTGAAACCTGGTCACCTGGTATGAACGAAGAGGTAAATATTTCACATCTTACAAAATTGTTTGCGGGGTTGGATGGTCGAATGGTTAGAACATGCGTGCTGTATCATAAGGCCTGTCATGAAGTCAACTGGCGTGGTTTCGAATCACCAGTTGTATGTGACAAGGAGTAGGGTTGCCTATCCAACCTCGTGGGTTTTCTCCGGTTATTTCAAAGTGAATGATTGAAATAAAATTAAACCATATGTTAGTCCGGAAATGACCTAGTTTGTGTTGAGTGGACGTTAAACCCCATTTCATTCTCTCTCTCCCCAAAATTGTTTGGGTGAGGGGGGGCTTATTCTGTGTCAAATTTCCTCTTGACACAACAGATTTTAATAGGTTACGAAAAAAACAAAGGAATCACAAAGTTAGACAATATGGACAAAATGTGTTTCGATGGTGACAATTCTCGTGAATTCTATTAGAAAAGAGAGAGAGAAATGGGGTTTAACGTCCACTCGACACAAACTAGGTCATTTCGGGACTAACATATGGTTTAATTTTATTTCAATAATTCGCTTTCACATAGGGGTCTTTAGCAGTGGGAGGAAACCGGAGGACCCGGAGAAAACCCACAAGGTTGGACGGGCGGCTCTACTCCTTGTCACGTACAACCGGGGATTCGAAACCACGCCAGTCCCCCATGAATTCTATTAGAAATAATCATTATAGCTAATTTCATCAAAATATGTTTGGATAGGATCCACAATGGCTTGATTTGTCATGGAGAGAGAGAGAGAGACCCCCTTCAAATTTTTTTTAAAAAATATGTGTTATAGGATATGACCTTAACATAACAAATCTGATATTATACCAGTTCATATAGAATGACACTTGTATTACAAGGGCATTATGGGAGATTAGATAAAGAGTTGACAGTTCTCACTTAAATATGCGGAAAATTTCAGTCAAATTGCTCCACTATGAACCGAGATATTAGCTTTTGAATTTTAGGCTAGCCTTGATCATCATTACAAAAGTTAGTACGATAAAAAACAAAGTCTCGATTATCCATTTATCAATGTAATTATTTTTCAAAAAACGTATTTAAATCCAGTAAATATCGCATGCTATCGATGACATTGAGAGTTGATTATGGTCTGGATAAGTTAATAAATGTCTAATTAATAATTTAGATAACATTTCAGGCCTACAGAAAGACCTGTAATATGCAGATTTAGCTCTTGTATAACGTATGTTTAAAAAGGTTACATGCTATTTTTTTTTTAAAGAGAACCGGAGGATGGAATGTTCCAGATGACTCTGATGCCAGTCTGACAGAATTTACGCAAAGTAAGTAATAACTCGCAACGATATATATATGTATTTGTGACTATCGTTTGGCTGTTCAGGTTTGGCGGCTACACCAAATCTGTCCTAAAGCAGAAATTTGTGACTGTTGTTTGTCTGTTCGGGGATCTCGACAACACTGAGGCTGAAATCTGGGGTGTAAGTGCAGCTGATGGCATTGCACTGGCAATTCCTGTTTCAAAGTTTTCTTGCTTCCCGTTCATGGCAACCCCAGTTCAACTTATAGTAGAGAGAGAGGGATGGGGTTTAACGTCCACTTAACACAAACTAGGTCATTTCGGGACTAACATATCGTTCGATTTTATTTCAATAGGGGTCTTTAGCAGTGGTAGAAACGGGAGGATGTTGGGATGTTGAGAAAACCCACGAGGTTGGACAGGCGATCCAACTCTTGTCATGTACAACCCAGGAATCGAAACCACACCATTTGATGCGATGACAGCCCTTATGATACAATGCGCACGCACTAACCATTCAACCATCCAAACCCATCCCATCCCACCCCCACCCCACCCGTCTCACACAAAATTCAGAATGTCAGGTACTGATTATATTGATTATATGATCTTGTGACATATGAATATTGATTATTGATTATTTTCTGACAGGTTCGAGAAGTAGACCATCTCGAGATCCTCGAGGTAAGTTTAATAAATAAAACAAGACCATATTAAGGTCCTGGTTCATAGATACAGTCACTTAACAAGGGACGACACCCAACCAGTTGACTGAGACAGTTAACCAGGACCTTGTAGGAGAGACGACAAAATCTCCCCGTAAATCAACAAATTGAAAAAATCGCTCCCTTAAAAAAACTCTTCCAGTTTCCATAAGAAGAGTGATTTAGAAATTAAGGAGAGTGATCTGATATTAAGAAAAGTGATTAGTTGTGAGTATGGGAAATGGTTCTGAAGATCAATAACTACATGTAAGGGGGTCATTCCTGGTTTCATAAATAATAATAAAACCCCGCTTGACTTTGTAAAGGAGAGCGATTTTCAATTTTAAGGGTAGGGAGAAAAGCCTCCCCTCGGTCGATGTTCAGGTGAGCAACAGGTGCTCAGAGCGATCACTCACCTTAAAAAACAATGACTGCTTGTTTCCACCTTTCAGGTAGATCTCGCAAGCAATGAAATGAAATGTGGTTTAACGTCCTACTGTTCTGCTCCTACTGGGCTTGATAAAGACAGGCATATGCCATACAGGGTGCTATGAGGGAAATTTTTGCCCAGACAGCGCCAACATGCTTGATAAGAGAATACCTATCGAAACATCGTGCTTGTGTATAACAAACCAGTGATTGTTGTCCCATATAACTGACCTCGTGGGTTTTCCCCGGGTCCTCCGGTTTCCTCCCACTGATAAAGACCCCTACGCGCAAGCAAATTAATGAAATAAAATTAACCATATGTTAGTCCCGAAATGACCTAGTTTGTGTCGAGTGGACGTTAAACCCCATTTCTCTTTCTCTCTCTCCCATATAACTGTGTTAGTTCTGCCTTTAATGTTTCCAATGGCTAAATCCCACTAAAGGATTATGACTTAACTTTTAAATTTTATTTTATTTCAGCATATTAGATGATCTACAAGAGTAAAAGGAAATATCAGATATTGTCATGTATATCATAGTTTTGGTTCATTTTTGAAATAGATGAAATTCATACGATATTGTGTTTTTTTACAATAATTGTTCCGTCCATACTTGTGAATTGTAGATATATTTATACGAACTTTAATATGCAGTTAATATTGTTATGTGTTAATTTCATTATCTTCCGGCAATCTACTTGTTAACTACTTAATATAATATATTATATATGTGTAAATTTGTTATCGTCAGGAAGTGTGGTAAATTATATAATGTGTATATTATTTTGTATTGTCCGGTAGTGTAGTATTAATAATAATAATAATATGTATATTTATAATGGGCTATACTCCATCCATAAAATGAGAAATGAAATGACGTTTAACATCCTACTGTTCTGCTCCTAACCTGGGCTAATGAAGACGGGCATACGCCATACAGTGTGCTATGAGGGAAATTTTGCCTGGGAAGCGGCACTATGGCCTACTCTTATATATCGAATTCCAACTGTCAAGGGATCGTTTACGTGCACACCAATGTTTACATGGGACCTTGGTTTTTCGTCCCATCCGAACGACTAGACAGTTGTCCTTGTCAGGCCCTCCGCCCTGCATCACTGACAAGGTGACCATAAAAGGAGTCACACAAAAATAAAAGTTACTACTCTGGATAAAATGTTAATTCCTCTCATTTTGCCCGACCCAAACTTGACTCCCAAAGGAAGAAAAAAAAAATATGCCAAAATCTGAATTAGAAAACCAATTCTCATTGAAATAAAGGTGAAGCCTTGTGGCATAATTATATTATTTGATGAAACCGAACTGCTACGTGAAATTCCTCTCCTATCCAACTTAAAATGTTCGCCCAGCCAGAAATAGCATGCACACTCCGTCTCACATGATCATAAGTCACTTTCCATACATGGCATTCATAGTAAAAAAGCGTAGTAACACTTCCACTCGACACAAGCTAGGCCATCCTACTCATTGTCACGTACAAGCGGCAATCGAAACCATGCCTCTTGACTCAGTGACAGACCTAATCCAACGCACACTCGTTAACCATTCGCCCCACCCATCTTTGGCTGAATGCTAAAAGCACCAAGGCTTTAAATAATTCGTACAAAATAGAGAGAGACATGGGGTTTAACGTCCACTTGACACAAACTAGGTCATTTCGGGACTAACATGTGGTTCAATTTTATTTCCATAATTCACTTGCGCGAAGGGGTCTTTAGCAGTGGGAGGAAACCGGAGGACCCGGAGAAAACCCACGAGGTTGGACAGGCGACTCTACTCTTTGTCACGTACAACCGGGGAATCGAAACCCCGCCAGTTGACCCAATGACAGACTTTATGATACAGGGCGCACGTGCTAACCATTCAGCCATCCACACCCCCCCCCCCCCTACAAAATAGAATAACCAATTAAACAAGATTTAATCTACACATTTAATTCTTATATATAATAGTACAACAATAAATAAAAACAAGATTTTAACCAATTATTGGTGAAGTTCTTTGATAGTAATAGACATGTTGGTGATCTCCTTCACCTAGTGTGTAATACCCAGCACCTCGAGGGTCCCAGCACACTGATTCTCCTCTCTTCTCTAGAATATACGGTAAATCAGCCGGTTGTCTCTTGATGGCACCTATATAATCACCGTCAGATGTATCCCAGTAGTAAACATGCTCTCGGTACTTGATCAACATCTCTTTACCTGAAATATAATATACATTTCGGGACTAACATATTGTACAGTTATACTTCCATAATTCGCTTGCTTGTAAGAGATCTTTAGGAGGAAAGTGGGGAGAGGTTAGGCAGGCGACCCTTAGGCCCACCAGTCAAAAATCCAGGCCACAAAAAATAAAGTAAAAAATCTTTTAGTAGTTACAGTACTGTCAAAAAATATGATTCTAAATTGTTTAAATGTTAAATTGAACTTTTTTCCTTTTATCGGTGAACCCAAAATATCGGTATTTTCAGATACCTATCAAAATGTGCCTTCGGGCTAGCAGGGCCTTAATCCAGCACTGCAGACAAGCGTGGGGTCGAAACCAAGTTACTTGACTCCATGGCAAACCCTACGACTTCGGATTTATTTATAACAATTGGAAGAAACCAGAGCAAATCCACAATTTTAGGAAAGCTACACTTGTAATGAACAATCGACCCCCCACTCCCCCCCGCCTAACCGATTCCACGTTAAGTGAGCGAGAGAGAAATGGGGTTTAACGTCCACGCGACACAAACTTGGTCATTTCGGAACTAACATATGGTTCAATTTTATTTCGATAATTCAATTGCCCGTAGGGGCCTTTAGCAGTGGGAGGGGCCGGAGAAAATCCACGAGGATGGACAGGCGACCCTATACTCCTTGTCAATGACAGACCTTATGATACAGCGCGCACGCACTAACCATTCGGCCATCCACCCCGTGACCCCCGCCCCACTTTTAAGTAAGGCCTTCTTACCATCCGCTGATATATCACCACCAACAGGATCATTGTGAGATGATGATTGAGATAATCGAGCTGAAGCAACAATTTTAGCTGTTGTCCCTTTTGTCCATCCATCATTCGATAGTTTAGCGATTAATCCGTGTCCACCATCAACTTTGGATACAACGTAAATATCTTCATTAGGTGTCACCATTACCGTCTCACAGTCGGGTTCATTCCAGCTTTAAATAACAAACAGACAATAATTATTGATAACGGCGGCGTCACAAGTTTCGAATAAAAAAACAGAACAATTATGTCATAACTTTGCATAGAAGGTGCTTTTCTGTCTCCAGCACAATCCGGTGAGTAGGTGACACATTATCGACCCCCATTGGTGACGAACAATCGCTGTATGTGTTTTTATAGCAGGCAAAACATCATCTCAGATAACACCTATTCTAAAATCCTTACATTGCCTCCTAATTCCAGCTCGCAGCAAATTTAAAGTCCTGTGTCTCAAATACCAGTGTCTACCAAATCTTGAACCCAGCTATTTATCAGAACTACTGACACTATATCAACCAAATCGGTCCTTGAGATCTTATTACCAGAACTAAAACATTTTGGTGACAGAAGTTTTAGTGTAGTTGGTCCTTAATTGTGGAATCGGTTACCTCTGAAAATCCGAAACAGTGAAACTTTGACTACTTTCAAATCACATCTGAAGACTCACTTATTTCGGGGATGCTACGAGAATTAGACTTTCTATTCACTGTGTATATAGCTATTGTCTCATTGCGCTTTGAGCATGCTTTTGGATGGATTTGGCGCTCTACAAGTACATTATTATTATTATCATTAACGCCCCCTCAGGAAAGGTTTTTGTAACAACAATGACAAAAAATGAAAATTACTTACGTAAAATGAAATTCCCCATCAACATCAAGACTTTGAGATTTGAGTTCTGTGGGTTCCCGAACTCGGTATATTATGTTTCTAGAACCATCACCAGCATGGTCTCCTGTTTCAGCAATATACACACAGGAATGACTACCACATGGTCCGATAGCTAAATCCTCCCAATCGTAGTTAGCAACCCCGGATATCTTCAACTCGGCTTCTGTAACACCAGTGTTGCTGTCGATAGCGAAGATTCTACTGGAATCGCCTTTATCATTTTGAGTGTAGACGACTCCCGGGAAGACTCTGCTGGCAGCTAATCCGGATGCTTCATCTACATTTTTGTCTTTTACGGTACTGAGGGTTTTAGCCGACGAAAACGTTGGAGCGGCTGAAAAGGTAGCAGAATTTATGATTAATTATTTATTATGTCTTTAGTCGCCTCGGGCATTTGTTTGTTTCCCCAATTAATTTTATAACCGCTGCCGAGTTTTCTGAACAGAAGAACGGACAGCTGAGTCTGATAATAAGCATGATACTCAGAGCCGGATTAAGGGGAAGGAAGCTGGGTTGCAACCAGGGGGTCTGCGAATAAATCTGACATTTGTGTGAGTGTGGTCAGAATATGCCCTCTTTTCACTGTTGATGCAGGGGCCCTGTTACATTTTCAACCCGGGGACCCATGTAAGCTTAATTCAGCCCTGATGCTATCAATGAGTAAGGGCTATTTCCGAGCTTATAGACTGGAAACATTTTCTAGTCCCTGTACCACCCGGATGTTTATTCTGCTCATATAGGTAAAGATGCTTTGTGTAAAATTAAGGCAAGCGAATTACTGAAATAAAATTGACCCATGTGTTGCTCCTGAAATGATCTACTCTCTCTCTCTCTCTCTCTCCCTCTCTCTCTCTCTCTCTCTCTCTCTCTTTACTCACCCAGCTTCTCTAATTGAAATGAAATGGGCTTTAACGTCTGTATCAACCGGCCTAATGAAGACGGACGGACATGCGTCATACAGTGTGTTATTATAGGGACATTGTGCGCGGACATCAATTGAATTCCAACTGTTAAGGTTCTTTTACGTGTACACGCCATCGAGTAGTCGGGACAGCTAGACCATGTCTTTGTCAGGCCCTCAGTCCTTCGAGGAACTTTATCGTCGAACACTGGGAGCAAACCCGACAGAATCATCTACCCAAACATTACAAAGACCTGATTGTATGTTTAGATTCTTAAAAATAGTTTAAAGATTATATTTGGGTACATGTACTTATTTTGTTCTTATTTTGTCCATGGTGATTATTTATCATCTTGAACTTTGACCTTTCGTATCTTTAGCACACCTTTCATGTTTCACATGTCCTGATTGATAGGATTCTTCACTTGTGACGTCGTTTGCCTGACGCATTCATTGCAATTTGCCACTTTCTAACAGAATTCACACGACGGCCTCGAAACGAACCTTTCGAGACTTTTTAAGCCATGGCCTTCACTTGTGACTTCCGTCTTCATTAGCCCAATCGGAGCAGAACAGTAGGACATTAAACCTTAGTTTATATCCTGATAATGGCGGCGGCAGTTGATCGGGATTTACCAGCTTCGTACTCCCTTGTCAGTGGTATACAAGAGGCCAGTCCTAGTGCCCCTCCCCCCTCTCTACCCTGAGATTTGAAGAGCTAAATCGCTATTCTTTGGCATTATAAATGGACACAAATGGGTCGCAACGTATATAATAATGTAATATGAATATATATAGACTGATTTACATTTAATCGTTTCTGTTTTTACTATAATTTCTAATCAGTTATGTTCGGCGAAATACGCAAAGAGTCCCAATTAAATTTTTGTAGCCTGGATTGTCATTGTTAGCGCGATCACGATAATTAACAAAGTCTCGATTATCCAATTTTGCGTTTAATTACCAACGGACGTTGATCAGTAGATCGGATTCAAATCCAATGTAAATCGAACAGATTAGGCCCTAAGTTCACAAAGCATTCTCAGACTTAAATTAAGAATTTACTCAACTTTCAATCACTGTTTATGAGAAATATCTTTGATCTAGAAACACAAAACCTTGCACATAGTTTCTTATTGATTTAATTGATAAATTATAACAACATAAGTTTTATAAACGGCTATATTTTAGTTAAAATTAGGCAAACAATTTTGAGAAAATTCTTAACTTAAGTCTGAGAATGCTTTGTGAACTCGGGGCTAGATGGCATCGAGAGTTGATTCTGGTCTTTTCGTGTTAACAAATGTCTAATTAATAATTTATATAACATTTCAGGCGTAAAGAAAGACCTGTAATAGGCAGATTTAGCTCTTGTATAATGTATGTTTAATAGTTGTAGTTAGCAGATGTCGACAGCAATGTATACCGTGAAAATGTTTAAACCGTTGGTTCAAATTAGGAACTACACTGTAAACTTTTGAATAACAGCACGTTTTGGGAATTTGCCTCTGTAATTTCGTATAGAGGACAACAAAATATTAATAAGGGACAAAATAGTTTGATAAAGCGTGCTGGAACGAAAGAATGGCTATACATCCCCAAATAGAGAGAGGGAGAGAGAGAGTAGGGTAGGGTCTTTAACAGTAAGAGAAACCAGAGGACCCGGAGAAAACCCACGAAGTTGGACAGGTGTACCCAAATAGACTTACCTGCTTGTGATCCACATAGAATCGAGAGTAGAAAGAAGACAGTCAACATGATGATCTGTTGTAGAATTACTGGTATATAACAGAGATTAGGTTTACACTGATATATAAATAATAATCACAATCGTAGGTTGATACTTTCTCACGACATGTCAATTTTAAAAACCCATAATTTACACGCATGCTTATCTTATGATACTGATAAAACAAACATTCGTTTTTCAAGTAGAGAGTTTGAAATCAGAATTTTATTCTTTTAGTAAGTTTAGGAGGACCGCACTACACGCACAGAAATGACAAACCTGCGGACATTACAAACCACAAAGACAAAAGAGAGAGAGAAAATGGGGTTTAACGTCCACTTGACACAAACTAGGTCATTTCGGGACTAACACATTTTTCAGTTTTATTTGTATAATTCGCTTGCGCGTAGGGGTCTTTAGTAGTGAGAGGAAACGGGAGGACCTGGAGAAAACCCACGAGGTTGGACAGGCGACCCTACTCCGTGTCATGTGCGGGCTCGAAACCACGCTAGTTGTCTCAATGACAGGCTTTATGATACAGCACGCACGTTGCCCCCCCCCCCTCGGACATTACAAACCACAAGGACATTGTAAGAAATAAACAACAAATATCAAATGCGCTGTTCAGTCCCGGGCCTGTAAGGGTAGTGTTAAATGATAATGCCAGCTCAATTTTTCGTTACGGGTCACGAGATGTTAACAGGGCTAGAGCTAATCCCATCCCGGAGAAAAACCACGAAGTTGTATAGGCGACCCTATTCCTTGTCAAGTACAACCGGGGAATCGATACGACCCCAGCTGACTCAATGACAGATCTTATGATACAACGCACACGCGCCAACTATGCGGTCATCCAACACCTCTCACGTTGGTAGTGTGTACATAACTTAAGTTACAGACCCTCAATTCCCCGTCACTTTGTTCAGATATCATGTGACATGATAAACCACAAGTGAAACATTAGTTACCTCCCCTCAATTCCCCCACCAGGTTGTCCGGGTGTTATAATAAAACACAATGCTGAAACATCAGATATTGTCATTGCTCATTGGCTGTCTGTTTGTTCATATGTCATGCGTCAGGATAAAGCACGTAATAAATCAATATTGCAGCTGTTAACACGGATTACCTGTACGCACGCTGTGACGGAAAATCTATAAAACCGAACTGGAATACAGACAGCAACGTGTCTGCGATATCACCCTTGGTGCAAGTGGACGTAAAACTCCAGGAACTACCAGACCGCAATGAAACCTAATTGATAGCTCTCTGTCTACTAGAGCAGCCTTGAATAAACGGATAGCATAGTTTCTTCAACTAGAAATATCACGCTTGCTTGATTCAAAGAACTAAAACCAGACCTGTGGTGAAGTGAAGAATTTGGTTATGTACTTGTTATATGAATCGTACACCAATCTTCATTCAGCAAAAGATGCAACCACAAGGCATATAAATGGTACCATGGTTGTTCAAATCTTCAGCGGTTGCCAAGGAGTTTAAGGAATGTTTCTGCGTAGTACTCTTGTTAAATAGAGTCAGGGCCTGGATTTTGAATAGCTACATTTGTTGTCAGGGGCCGTGGTGGTCGAGTCGTCGGGGAATATTGGGTCGTGGTGGTCGAGCGGTCTGGGAACAGGACGCTGCGGTGGTCGAGCCGTCGGGAAATAGGGGGCCGCGGTGGTCGAGCCCTCGGGGAACAAGGGGTTGTGGTGGTCAAGCCATCGGGGAACAGGGGGTCGCGGTGGTCGGGGAACAAGGGGCTGTGGTGGTCAAGCCATCGGGGAACAGGGGGTGAACAGGGGGTCGCGGTGGTCAAGCCCTCGGGGAACAAGGGGCTGAGGTGGTCAAACCGTCGGGAAACAGGGGCCTAGGATGGTCTACCTGTTGTGTTCAAGCCGTCGGTTAGCCGAATGGTTAGCGCGTGCGCGTTGTATCATAAGGTCTGCCATTGATTCAACTGTCCAGCCACGTGGGTTTTCTACGGGTCCACCGCTTTCCTCTCACTGCTAAAGACTCCCACACGGAAGCGAATTAATGAAATAACGTTGAACCATATGTTAGTGTCGAAATGACCTAGTTTTTGTCGAGTGGACGTTAAACCTCCCCCCTCTCCCTCCCTCCCCCTCTACCTCCCCCTCTCCCTCCCTCCCCCTCTCCCTCCCCTCCCTGTTCGGCTAAGCAATCTCTAGCATCTGGTTATTCCAGTCTACGACAATAACATTTATTGCGCATGCTCTCCATATAAAAACCTTTGGAAGCGAACGTTAAATGGACACAGATCACCAAATATTCCTACGCCGTCACCCACGAAACAAGGGCCAAAGCTATTTTTAGTCTTCCTCTCCCTTTTCCTTTTTCCCCCTTTTGCATGGCGATTTTTGTTGACTTTTTGGTGTAGAATTGAGGAAAAGGGTTTGAAAATACATTTTCTGCCAGGTTTTGGTGAATATTCATAATTTTGATGCGGAAGGATACAAGAGTTGAGAGGTTGGTTACGTTGAAATGTAGGGCCTGAAATTGCATGTTTACTTGTCTCTACTTCCAGCTTGTGTATCTCAAGTTTTTCATGAAGAACCTCATACGTGCTTTTGGGCAAGTGGTTGCCACATGTTGCTCCATCTGTGGTAGAAAGCGTTCTACCCAACGAAAATTTGGGAAAAAGTTAGAGCCGGTCTAAGATACGAGAATTAACATTGGAGTCAATGGGAAATCTTTAGTGATCTGTGTCCAAATAAAGCTATTCCACACAAACACACAGATAAGAATACGGCGTCACCGTTTGACATGACTTGTGGAATATGTCTAGCCTCATTCTTCGGGTCCCTTGTTACAAATGGCGCTGAAACGCATTATGGTGTACGATTCGTGTAACAATGGTAAAATATTTATTTTGTCTTAAATATTGGATATCAGAAGCCCATCTTTTCCCTGTAAGATCACAACATCACATGTTGATTTAAATTGAGCAAATAATTCGTGTTTTCAATGTCGAAGACTTTGGATGATATTGATTTAGAGACTTAGCTACTTTAAATCCACCAAAATGCGAGGGGTTGATCTTTGAGTTAGAGACTTAGCTACTTTAAAATACACTATATAAATTTAGAACCTGAAGCGTGAGACAAAACCCGGATGTCATAAAAGGTCGATTATGTGTTATCTCGAGGTGCCAGTCATCCAGAACGTTTGAACTGACCAGAGCGGAATCATGTTGTCGGTGTGTCTGGTAATTCTGTTCTATGCTGGTTTGCCAGTTACATACACTCGTAAGTTTTTACAAATTCATTGTTCGTGGGTCCTCGGGATTTTCCGGTGTAGGGTCGCTTGTCAGTGATGAGGGCCTGACAAGGACAGCGTCTGGTGGTTCGAATGTACCGGGTGGCGTACTATATTTAAGAACGCGCACCAATGGGTACGAGCAATCCTAAGTAATCGAGGCTACATATGTAACCCGTTATTCTTGTTCTTGGTCATTGCAGTCTCTCGTGTTATCAGATAATCGAGAAGGAGTCCAAATTCCTTTATCTGGTTACGTTCTAACCGAAACTTAGGAACCGATCATTAACCTCCCAAAGCAAAACAAACTTCTCTGTTTCGTCGAACTTAATTTAAGAGAGGGAGACAGAGAGAGATGGGGGTGGGGGGGGGGGGGTAACGTCCACTCGACACAAACTAGGTCATTTCGGGAGTAACACATGGTTCAATTTTATTTAAATTTAGCAGTGGGAGGAAACCGGAGGGCCCGAAGAAAACCCACTCCTTGTCATGTACAACCGGGGAATCGAAACCACGCCCGTTAACTCAATTACAGACCTTATGCCACAACGCACATACGCTAACCATTCGGACCCCCCCCCCCACACACACACACACACACACACACTATATTAAATTCAATAAACACAAAGTCCCTCGATCCTTCACGGATCGCCATAAAGACTTCTCCCCGACTCAATATGGGATTTCTGACTATAACCATTGGCGCCATCTGTCAAAATATATCCGATGGGATTCGGTTGATAATTATAAAGTACTTACGCAGAATGTTTTGTTTATTTTCAGAAGCCCCAGTTTTCTCCTCGGCTCAGATCCTCAGTACCGTCCAGGACCCCGAAGTAGATGAAGCATCGGGTCTGGCTGCTAGTCGAGTTCACGCAGGAGTTCTCTATACCCATAACGACAAGGGTGGGTCCAGCCGACTCTTTGCTCTTGATAGTAAGACTGGGGCTACACTAGCCATTTTAAAGATTGCTCATGTTGCCAATTACGACTGGGAAGATGTAGCTGTTGGTCCATGTGGCAGTCATTCATGTGTGTACATAGCTGAAACGGGAGATCATGGAGGAGACGGAGCTAGGAATGTCATCTACCGAGTTCGCGAACCAGATGAGATCAAGACACAGACTCTCCATGTTGAGAGTCAACTGATGTTTAAGTAAGTGGCTTTACAGGATATTATAAGGTTGGGAGGGGATGGGGGGGGGGGGGGGCTTGAACGCTGAGATAAAGACATAGATTCTTCAAATCGACAGTCAACTGATGTTTTAGTAAGTGGCTTTGAATTGTCAACACAATACTAACCACATAGCTCTCTAGGGGGTGTTGTAGAAAGCAAAACCGCGGTGTAATCTACCTCGCGAAATCGCTTTATCGCGTTCAAGTCAAACCTTCGTCCATTTACTCATTCACCAGGCAGGGTATCGATCGCGGTGTTGACCGAGCAAGTGCTGCTGGATCTGGTTTCCCTTTGTTAATAGTGCAGGGTGAAAGGTCTGACAAGGACAGCGTCTAGTCGTTCGGATGGGACGATAAACTTATCACCCGGTACATCCTGGTGTACATCTAAAAGAACCTTGGACAGTTTTAATTCGGACACCGGCAAAATTTCACTCATGGAACACTGTATGACGTACGTCCGCCTCCATTAGCCCAATGAGTGCAGAACAGTAGGACGTTAAATCTCATTTCATTTCATTCATATCCTTTACAGGTGGGATGAACCGGATTGTGAAACAATTATGGTGACACCGAATGAAGATATTTATTTGATCTCAAAGGTAGTGGGAGGACATGGATTAATAGCCAACTTCTCGAGTTCGGGATTCGGTTCCGGTCAAGTGGTCACAGCTGAATCCTCGAAATATCTTACCCTCGATTCTATCCATCACGACCCTGTGGGAGGAGATATCTCTTTTAACGGTAAAGAAATGCTGATTAAATATAAACTGAACGTGTACTACTGGACCGTGCTGGATGGAGATTACATAGGGGCGACAACTCGACCACCAGTAAACTTACCATACGTTTTTGAAACCCGTGGAGAATCTGTCTGCTGGGATCCTCAAGGCTCCGGATATTATACTACTGGAGAAGGTCTAAATCAACATATTTATTATTATAAGAGACAATCACCTATTATAGGATAAAATATCAATTAGGATTTAAAATGTTTCTGATATACTCAACTTTCAAATTACTCAAATAAAATGTTTAGACCGTGTTAATGTACTATGAATGACTAAAATGGCACGTCAGCTTCAACCGGGATAAATTTCGCCAAAAATATGGTATTTTTACACGCAATAAACTAGAAACAAGCTTTTACAGATGTGGAGCAGGGTGTTACCTTATGAGAGAGAGCGAGAGAGAGAGAGAGAGAGAGAGAGAGAGATGGGTTTTAACGTCCACTCGACACAAACTAGGTCATTTCGAGACTAACATGGGGTTAATTTTATTTCAGTAATTTGCTTGCGCGTAGGGGTCTTTATTAGTGGGAGGATACTGGAGGGCCCGGAGAAAACCTACGAGGTTGAACGGGCGATCCTACTCCTTGTCACGTACAACCGGGGAATTGAAACCACGCCAGTTGACTCAATGACAGACTTTATGATACATATGTAAACTCACATACTGGACAAGGGGTCTAACGCAGTATGAGGTAACCGGCAGACCAGGAGAAAACCCACGAGGTTGGACAGGGAATCCTACCCCTTGCCACACATGAGGGGAATCGAAACCACGCCAATTGACTCAATGAGTTTCTATTGACATATTATTTATGTGTGGTTTGATGGTCGAGAGCGAGACAGTAAATATAGGCCTACATTATGGCAGATTAGATAAAGAGCTGGCATTTCTCACTATTAGTACTAAGCAGCAAAAGAAACGTCAGGTTGGTATGTTACTCTGAACAGACGCATTGCATGAAACTTGCCAAATGTTTTTATTATATACTCTTCAACAAAAGTAGGGGAAATTCAGAAACAATACAAAACTGCGGAAATGCACTGTTGTTTTTATTAGAGGTAACCAGTGAATGTTAATAACAGGCCAATTGCCTACACATGAACATAAACAGTTCATATGGGCGGCTTATCTGAGGGCCCCATTTCACTCGCAAAAAGATACACCGTCAAAAGTAAAAATGGACGTCGTGGTATGCTCCTAATCAACCGTCCAATCACGATTTGGGGCAATCTGACCAACTCCTCTTGCAGTGCCACGGCTAATTCTTGCAGTGTTGTTTTTGTTGACGTTGACGTCGACGAACACTTCTCCCGATCAAATTAAACCCAACACACTAAAGCAAAGATACGCTAAACAGTAAATCTTATGGAAGAACCGATAGGAAAGCAAACATGGATAGATAAACCAGCACGCGGCAGTTTTTTTTTTTTTTGTTTTTTTTTAAAATCTTTATTTCAAATAATCAATAACAGCATAGTACATAGTTCACATATTACAATCACAGTGTGTAGCATCATACAGATAGCGTCGGTTTAATGTTGAAGGCTATACTATATTACATTGAGTAGAACAAATATATTCACAAAGAAAATAAAATCTAATAAAAAAAACTAAACAAAAAAAAAAAAAAAAACATACAGAGATAGCTACAGGTATTAAGAGGTTGGAATACTAGGAATGGAATACTAGAGGTATGCATAATATTCATATGGTGTAATCCCATTTATTTACTAAGGTTTCGTTTAATTCATTTTCTATCTGTTGTTTACCTTTTAGGTAGTTTCGATAATTAATAATTGTCGGTCTGATATTTTCTATTTTCGATTTGTAGAGGTAGTATTTTGTTAAAAATATTAAATGATTTACAAATAAGAATTCACGATATGATTTAAAAACTGTTTCTTTCAGAAAACCGAAATGAATGTTCGTAAGTTGTAATTGTAATGAAATGTCATTAGTTGAGAAGATTTCATGTAAATCATTCCATATTACCTGGGCGTAATTGCAGTATATAAAAAGGTGTTCCGGGGTTTCTATATTTGAATAACAAAAATCGCACAATGAAGACTCCTTTAATTGGACTTTAAATAAACGGTCGTTTGTATATATAATTTTATGGAGGTATTTACGCGGCAGTTTTCATCAACCCTTCCTTGAAGAGTCAAATTTGACAATGAACCCCTCCCACGTGTATGGCGCTATTGCGTGTCGCATGTGCACCTCAGTGGTTCTGTTGGGGCGATAAGTTCTTCATCTGTGAACATACTCTCAAAGCATGTCAAGTGTCCATGACTATTTATCATATCACAACCTGCATAGGTATTTGCATTTCAATATCCTCTACTTTTTTTGAAGAGTATATATTTGTGACCACATATCCAACTTTACCTGAGCTTTAAGGATCCTTCCCAAACACAGAATTGAACCCAGGAAATGTTCTCAAAAACGTAACCTGACTTCTGAGATGGTAATGTGTTCTCCGTGATTTTCCAGTAACTCATACTACGCTTGCTGTTCACCGGGACCAGCCCTATAAAATGCACCCCCATACCTGGTTGAATCATTCACACTACTGCGTCAGGGGCATGCTACGACTCACGACAGCTGATAGGAACCAGGCGCGTGGAAGACTCGACGCTGGCCACATTGCCCAAGCCGTTGCCAATCATTTCCAGGTCAATGTTCGGACCATCTACAGGCTTCAGCAACGCTTTCGGGCCACCAACACCACGGGTGATCGCCCCCGAACTGGTAGGCCAGGGGTTAAAAGACCGCCATGTTGTGCGACAGCACGTGCAGAATCCCTTCACACAGAAACTTATAATTGCATATTCTAAAAGTAAAAATCTGAACGACATCCTAGTGCACAGTAAATTAGATTAAATAAGACCAGTCTCCACCCTGTTCCAAAACAAACCATATATCAAATCCTATCCCTAACCGTTAGTAAATAAAATCAACTAGATATAAGAATCCCTAGCCCTAACCCGGTGATGTGGAACAAACACGATGTTTTAGAAAATCCAATCCGTAGTAGGAAACACACTAATGTGGCTCTCTCCCGAGAGCCTCAAATTTATTTTCTTTTTTCTTCAGAAACAATAATACCAGAATACCAGAAGCACCACCCAAGGAAGACCATCAGCGCCACCAACACCAATAAACAGTGAAATCACCTTTGAATATAAATCTAATGTATTGTATGTATTTTTAATAAAACTAGGAAATATCACGAACTAATTTGTCATCAACCTAGGTCAGTGCTTATGTGGAGACTTAACCCCTCCCCCAAATTCTTAAACCTAACCCTAACCCTAACCAACCCTAACACCAGAACTGGCGACATCGACCAAGCTCTCAGACCCCACGTCATACCACATTTCGCACGTCATCGAAACAACGTTTTCCAGCATGACAACGCCCCTGCCCACACCGCCAGAGTTACTCGGTACTTTCTACAGCAGAACGGTGCCAACGTTATACACTGGCCAGCCCGTAGTCCGGACTTAAACCCGATTGAACATCTTTGGGATGTACCGAGACCAAACACAGCCGATGGATTGCGCAGGTGTTTCTGAGAGTGTGGTTCCTGGTGTCAATGACGTTCATCAATCGTCTGGTCCACTCCATGTACAGACGATACGATGCTGTCATTGACATTCGCGGTGGACACACCAGATACTGATGTTTAGACTGTGTACAGACTCTAAACCTTCTCGTAATGTCTTGGGATTGCGACGAATTAAAATCACTAATGTGTCAACATACTGTTTTTCACAAACGAAAATTGCTTTGATCCACTTAGTAAGTCGTTTTCTAGGATAATTTGATTAGAGAGAGAGAGAGCGAGAGAGGTGGGGTTTAACGTCCACTCGACACATACTAGATCATTTCGGGACTAACATGGTTTAATTTTATAATAATAATTTTGCTTGCGCATAGGGGTGGGTCTTTAGCAGTGGGAGGAAACCAGAGGACCCGGAGAAAACCCACGAGGCTGGACAGGCGACCCTACTCCTTGTCACGTACAAGTGCCTCTCTGATGTTGAAATCGTACTGACATTTTTTTAGGGTTTTTTTTGTTTGTTTTTTGCTGTTTAGGCTAGTTAAAAACTAGATAATGTAAACGAATTTGCTGAAAATTTCTGTCAAATTGATTCACTCTGAACCGAGAATTATGCGATTGAATTTTCGGACTAGCCTCGATCATTATTACTATAGTCGGTACGATAAAAACATAGTCTCGATTATCCATTTCATGATTAAATTATGGATGAAAATTGAGCAGTAAATCGTACCCTAATCCAGTAAATATCGCAGGCTAGCAATGACATCGAGAATTGATTATGGTCTGGATAGGTTAATTAATGTCTAGATAACATGCCAGGCCTAAAGAAAGACCTGCAATAGGCAGATTTAACTCTTGTATAATGTATATTTAAGTACTATATTGAAACAACACGAGTGACGTAGTCAAGTTTTGTTGTTTTAATATATTACGCAATGTCTCAAGCTCGAGACCATTAAACAACTTAAAATACAGATATTCGCACGTGCTTTACAACGGAATGCGTCACTAGTATAAATAGTGTACGCTTGGCACATTGCCCGTACCATTATTTGAAATAATGATACGCCAACATCAAATGATGACGTCACATCTGTATTTTAAGAAATCATAAAACGTATAATACAGTCTGGTAGTATTACAGCTATAACCCAACAACGCGAAAATATAACAGGGTAATCCAGTCAGTTGTTTAGTGTTGTCTGGTCAATTTTGTTGTTTTATTGTTGGCTTGTCGCCTTCCACATTTTAACAGAATACCAGTCGTGGACTCACATTTAACTGGGTTTTCTCAGGGTTCTCCGGTTTTTTCCACTGCTAAAAAACCCAACATGCAAGCGAATTATTGAAATAAATCTGAGGCATGTGTTAGTCCCACAATGACATAGTTTGTGTCGAGTGGACGTTAAGTAATCAATATCTTTATGACGGAGACCATCATTACATCTCTCTTGACAGTTGATACCACGGTAACCTTGTATTGTATACATCTAGAACACTGATCCGTTTTCCTGTCACAGTTACCGACACAATTAGTAACTGTCCGGTTCTCTTGACAGTTGATACCATGGTAACCTTGTGTACATCTAGAACACTGACCCGTTTTCCTGT